ATGTTAAGTTATCGATTGTCATGTATGTAGGACATTTTTCTAGTGTTCCACGGATCGTGTTGCAACATGAACCTGGGGTATTGCTGAGGTGTAGGAGCCGGTTAGTGGTTAAAGCGTTCGTTCGTCACGCCGAAGACCCGGGTTCGATTCCCGACGTGGGTACAATGTGTGAAGCCAATTTGTGGTGCCCCCCCCCCCCCCCCCCCCCCCGTGATATTGCTGGAATGTTGCTAAAAGCGGCGTGAAACCATATTCACTCACTCACTCACTGTGGAGTAGCATTCTGTCTGTGGTTCTCATTGAGGTTAGTGCGCGAGCAGATGATGTTTTAAGCCTTGATCATCAATATTTGTGCCCCCCGTGAAGATCCGGGTTAGAATTGGTCTTCAGCAACCCAGGCTTGTCGTAAGAGACGACTAACGGTATCGGGTGGTCAGGCTCGCTGACTCGGATGATGGATGTCATCGAGTCCCCAACTGCGTAGATGGATGCTTAAGGTGGAATCACTGGATTGTTTGGTCCAGACGCGATTATTCACAGTCCGCAGTCATATGGCTGGAACATTGCAAACTGCATGGTCAGCAGTCCATGCATGAAGCCACACAAGACGTCTGCCTCACATTGTAACCACCCAAACACCGAACTCCCATGGACCACGGGAGACCTGTTATGTATTGGAATCCCCACTGATACACACTTAGCAACCATACCTGAGATTTTCCCGGATATTTTCCGCCTTGATCCTGGACGCGAGCTTCTCGTGAATGGTGTCGTCTGCTTCTTGAATAATCGCCCGAGGCACTCCACTTGAAAACGCGTCATTGCCCTGTGAAGAGATGGCGAACCTACCAATCAGCAGACCGACGATGAACGTGGCCAGCAGGCTCACCCCAGCCACAATCAGCTTCCTTCGTTGACCAGAGAGGATGGCTATCGCCATGTTGCTACGGCAGATCACGGTATGCAGTCTTGTTCTTGTCTAACCTCCAAGCCAGAAAAAGCGTCCCTGTTTTGACTGAAGTTTCGCAATTACCGTTGGCGCTACTAACGTGGTTAGGAATGTATTAACCATGGAAACTAGTTTAAAGACGTCCACATATTTGAATACAAATGAATGCTCTGCATACTTTGCGACATGACCTCGTTCACAGATATTGTTAGAACAGGTGTAAAATCTTTATTGGAAAAGTTTATTCAGATCGTAAAGCATATGCAAAAATGTCTGAAGAAATAAATATCTAAATTAGGTTTCAGAAGGATGTTTATTCAAACGTAAATACCAATGTCAATGTAAATCCTTTGTCGAAATAACCACAAATGTTTTCTGTCTTGAGCCGAAAAAGAAAAAAAATTGTGAAACATTAGATGTTCATGTTTTACTTAAATTACTTTGAACATGAAAATGATAGAAGAGACATAACAACCATCAGTAATATAAAGTAAATCCGAAGTCGACACTTGTTCATGTATACAAATTTATGCAAATGAAGGGCAACTTATCCGCCGTGATTCAGCATACCATGAACTTGGAACGACCCACATCCTCTTAAAGGCGCCTTTCGAGCGGTATTTTCACGCTTCTCTCCAAGACGACTGTATTTCGGTGCCGATCAAAGAGTATTGTAGTGTGGTTTGTTTGAATTTCACGTACGGAATTAATTACCTGCCTATTGTTTAGAATGCTATCAAATACTTTGTGATAAGTATATATAATGTGTTGTATTAAAATCATGTTTTTTGTTTGTTTCACTGCTGAGATTCTTATCTTGTAAGAAAAACATTCCTTCAGGATGGTAAAATTTTATCTTATTTAGCTTGTCTTCATGTCATGTTCTTCGAACGTTTATGGTATCTCACGTTCATATGATTGTGCGAAGCTTATTATAATCTTTATTATCCAGTTCAATTCTTAATATAAAAATATCAGTTCTCAGACTCGGATTAAAGAGACAAAACCACTTTAAATCAATCCTTTTATTGGCGAAGTCAACAAATCTCAACAAAAGTACTTGAAATTTGAGTGTACAGTCGAATATTTTTAAATTTAAAAATGGAGAACGTATTCGGGGTTGCTACACACACGCACGCACTCACGCACGCACGCACGCACGCACACACACACACGAATACACACACGGACACACACACACGAACATACACTGGTGGAGGGTAAGTATACACACGGATTGAAGGAAAAATGAACACATACTAAGTTGAACGTATACTATTTACTCTTGGGTTCGAAAACAAAATGCTCTACACAAACTTGTTACACAATAAACAAATGACACAAATTTGAGTATCTGGTATGCTCGCTATTCCGCCCCATATCACCTTCCCTTACTTCTCAGTCTGCCCTCGTCATAGTGCTCTATAACTCGTTGTGCAGGATCTGCTAATCGTGGGTTCGAATCCCAGATTCGCACTGATTATAATGACTGGTTTCACCAGGATGACAAACGTGCAAGAATCATCATCACGTGGCTTCTTCCTCTCACCCTAAGCTGACATGCCGTGGTCGAATTAATATATATTGTTCAAAGCGGCATTAAAGCCATGCTCACGCACTTGCCATTATGTATATATGTAGATCAAGTTATTTTTGGTAACATGTGACCCTTCAATCCTATTTTTTCCTAATCCTTCCAACATGCAGTACTTAATAGAATCATTTGGATCCTTTCGTCACAGGTTGGCTGCTGAGGAGAGTCCTAAGTGTGGAGATTTATTTAAATACAAAACGGCTGACATCTTTCAGTGACGAAGTAGCTGAATGGATGATGAAAAGAAGAATGGAGAAATTCTTTTTTATAGGTTTCCATTGGCTGTCGTGATCACGTGATGCACCTATCTGGCTCAGAAGGTCGACCAATCCAGGGAAGCTGGAAGCTGCGTAGGCGTTGTACATGTTCGGGGCCAAGACCACGTGTCTGGAAGAGTGAAAAAAACACGTTTTATGTTTGGGTACACTTCTAAGCCTCTGTGAATTCCGATGTAGCTATACGTACATGTCGATTTTAGTTTGGCGTAGCACGTGACTTATGGACATGTCAATCTTCTTTGATGTAAAACGTGAGCTGATTGGTAGTTCCAGCAGTGACAAATCCATTTTGAGTCAGTTCAAACGATACCGACAGAAATATCGATATATTTATCGTTGTGGTGGGACCACATTATAGTTTGTGCTAAAGCCATGTTTTTACACATTATTGCTATCATTATCTTTATCGTTATCGCTGTGGTCTTATCCTTTCTTGTCGTTATCGCGTGTTAGAAATGGACACTGGACCCGACAATCTTGTGATTGATATTATGAGCAACGCAAGGGTTCGATGACAGATTATCAACCAATTCACTGACTATTAACTCGTCTCAGACGACTAGGCGACCAGTCGACCTCTAGTCTAACCAGGAATCTCCACGAGGTTTCTCTGACATAGACGTATACAGGATCACAGGACCTCTCTGTGGAACCCCTTCGTTACTCAAGCATCTGCAAGCCCTGACTGATTCTCTTCCGGAAATTGTTTGAATGAATGATTAACTAGGTTCCGTCTTCTGGAACAACGTACTTGTGATGGGCCCTTCCGGGTAGACCTGCAGGGTCAGTGAAGACTCTCTCCAGCTGCATCATCTGGTCGTTGACAGCACGAACCGCCAAGGGGCTGAGACATACAACCAGTTTAACAAAATTAAGATACGTGCAGATGTAATTGTTCATAATGATGTAAACTGGGCGCAGCACGAGGAAGCGAGATAGGATGATCGGGCCTTCGGCCATTGTGTTTGCCAAGAGTACAGTAAAAAGAGGTGTTCCATCACAGCAAAACTGTCGACTTGAACTTGCAACTTTTGTTTGTTTGTTTGTTGTTTAACGCGAAACTCAGCAATATTCCACCTTTACATAATCGAGTCTGGACCAGACAATCCAGTGATTGATATCATGAGCATCGATCTTTGCAATTGGGATACGATGACATGCATCAACCAAGTGAGCGAGCCTGACCACCCCATCTTGTTAGTCGCCTCTTACGACAAGCATAGTCGCCTTTTATGGCAAGCATTGGTTGCTGAAGACTTATTCTCACCCTGTAAACCTGCAACTAACAAAAATAGCATTGAACACATTGTAAAACGTGTAGGTTTACATACTTATTTCTGTTGACTGTTGTTAGGCTGTTCATAAATTCAGCTGCTACTATCTTGAAGTCCCGGATGTAATCATCGAGGGCAGCTGTTCAACACAAGGAGGTTTTGTGAGTAAGGTTCCCGCCGCTTTTACTATTACAGCCAATCAATTTACAGTGGGTTTCATACATTGCAACAATGTAGGGGTTCGAACCCTTCGGAGTGATGACCCAACGCTTTGACCACTACCCCATCGCACCGGTATAAGAGTGAGTGAGTTAGGCTTGACCACGCTTTGAACAGTTATCACCTTTAACTCATCTTGCTTTTGCGTGACGCGATAGGGATACTCTTCATGGCTATGACAACCAATATAAAACTATTAGTCTGCACAATGGACCGCTCTACAAAACGACTTAAGGACTAAGATGATCATACTTTAACACTGACTTTGTTCAGTTTAATTTGTAAAACGGGGCCCTGTCAATATTTATGATCACAACTTTTCGACTGCGTACGCGTGCTTCCTTCCGTGCTGGGCGTAAACACTGGGCGCTCATCCGCCCTACATATACTGACGAAAAGAAATAATGGAACAGTTAGAAAGACATATTGGTTTGATGCGAGATATATGTGACCGAATACATCTGATATGAACCAATTTCTTTTGCTGACGTGAAGCAATTTTTTTAACGTATAAGTATAACTTTCTAACGATATGTTTCTCATGAATTATTCCCTTATCTTTTTCGTCAATATACATTAAAATCTTGCCGTTTTCTGTGTCTATATACAACTCACAGTAATTAGCTACGTTGACTTTCAATATGGCACCATACTCCCTATCTAACTCGTGTCTGCTCTGTTCCAACATGACGCCGTAGTCGGAGACGTTGTAGGGAAGGACGAGGGAGTCGGAGAGGCTGCGAGCTAGCTCCACCCACAGTGACGTCACGCAGGCGTGGATCTGCGGAAACAATGAAAAACCACTAGTCGGAACATATTTATATCGATGTTCTTCTAAGGACCTCGCATTTTACATGGCGTTTACATTATCATTCCCCGGGCTAGGACAGGTCTTCGGCAACCCATGCTTGTCGTCAGAGGCGACTATGCTTGTAGAAAGAGGCGACTATACTTGTAATAAAAGGCAACAACGGGATCGGGTGGTCAGGCTCGCTGACTTGGTTGATGCATGTCATCTTGTCCAAATTGCGTGGATCGATGCTCATGATATCAATCACTGGAATGTCTGGTCCAGACACGATTATTTACAGACCGCTGTCATATAGCTGTAATATTGCTGAGTGCGGCGTTAAACAACAACAAAAAACATAATCATTCCGGCATCAATGAATGAGTGTGCTTTTAGCAATATTCAAGCAATCTCGCGAGAGGATAACTGTACATATGAATAATTTGTTTGCAATTGGGATACGATAACATGCATCAGCCTGACAACCCGATCCCGTTAGTCGCCTTTTACGGCAAGCATGGGTTGCTGAAGACCTTCTCTTCCCCAGATCTTCACGGGTCACGTTTGAATAAACATCAATCAAAACACGCAGTTATATTAATATGTCTTCGCTGCTACTATTAATTAGGACCCGATAAAACATATTGCAGGGCGTTTTACATTTATTATTTCTGTGTCAAACCTTAAAATCTGGATCGTAGAACTTTTCCATGGCATAGAATGTCTCGTACACAGAGTGGTAGAGGGGGTAGGGATACTCGCTCTGAAACAAACAAAATGGCGTCTGTTGTCAACCACCACACTTTCGTTTATAACGAACACTCATATAACAAACTAACGGATATAACGAGTTGGTCATTTGCTGTATATATACTGTATATATGCTTATAACGAACTACGGTTATACCAAACTAAAAGTAGTGGTCCCTTTGGAGTTCGTTTCATCAGTAGTTTATAGTTTTATGTATAAGAATTTAATTCGTTTTGACGTGTGAGTTGGTTGGTTGGTTTGTTGTTTAACGCCGCACTCAGCAATATTCCAGCTATATGACGGCGGTCTGTAAATAATAGAGTCTGGACCAGACAATCCAGTGATTGATATCATGATCATCGATCCACGCAATTTGGATCGATGACATGTATCAACCAAGGACGTGTGAGTGATTTAATGTGGTTTTACGCCACAGTTAGCAATATTGCATCTATATCACGTCTGTAATAATTAAGCCCAGGCAAGGCAATCCAGGGGTTGACTGCATGACCGGCTCCTCCGGGTCAGCAGATCCCCAGCGTCTCGTGGAGGATCAGAGCAGTGACCTTGACGGAGTATTACCTTGAAGCCAAAGGTGGCAACCGGGATTCCAGCTTTCAGCAGAAAGGGATCATGGTCGCTTCCAGAGCCGGGGGGATCTATCCTGGGTGAAGAAACAATACAAAATTATGAATCTTCAATGAAACTGGGAGAAACTGATTCTTAATTGTTGTACTAAGTTATACTCCGTAAACATCATTGAACTATATCAGCTGATTTCTATCCTTCCGGTCAAGGATACAAGGGCACCGACTCGGGGAACTATAGTGATATGCTGCAGCCTCATTCGGCACATGGTAACATACATCAGCTGTCGATGTTGGAAGCTATGATGTGTTGAGTGTATCTGACCTAAGTGACACCCATGTCAGTACTAGCCATATGCAGAGGTATATCCGGGTATCCCTGCACACGCATGCACTCACGCACATACACTAACGCACGCAAGCACGCAAGCAAGCACGCACACACACACTTTCAGAGGTATTTCCGGATATCCCTGCGCACACACGCACGCATACTTTTCAGAGGTATTTCCGGATATCCCTGCGCACAAACGCATGCACGCACGCACACGAGCTATCCCACACACTTTCAGAGGTATTTTCGGTTATCCCTGCACACACACACACACACACACACACACACACACACACACACACACACACACACACACACACACACACACACACACACACACACACACACACACACACACACACACACACACGCAAGCACACACACGCAAGCACGCGCACACTCACACACACGCACACTTTCAGGGGTATTCCTGATACCCCTGCAGACACACACGCACGCACGAACGCACGCACACGCTCGCGCACACACACACACACACACTTTCAGATGTATTTCCACATACTTTATATGCAGGTTGCATCTCACCTTGGTTGAGTGGACTGTCCACTAAATGTCCGCGGTTCCACTTTCAGCCACTCGTCATATAGTGACCTGTCCCCTCGTGGGCCGAGCACCTGCACGTTGAACAGACAATATGGTCTACAGACATATGATAAATAATACATTTCACAAAACGAAAATAGGAATAATGATATAAAGAGCAGAACAAGGTGTCATTATATATAAAATCCGATTAATATACTGACCACCCTTCGAGCTACCTACCTGTTTAGCCGCATCATACACGGGTCTGTTCAGCAACGGTGTCGCTCCCATCGACAAACTGTAATTTCCTGCAAGTACCCATCTTCGATTATCCAGGGTATATTATATATCTCCATCTAATCAAATTACACTTATCTGAGAGAGAAGGAAACGCGAAAGCTGGACCTTTAACGTATTTTGTTTATACCATGTATGACATTAGACCTTGAGATACTGAGGCTTATTTAGTAGGGGTGAAGCGATACATCGGTGCACCAGTGCATCGTGAGTTTTCATGTGACGATAGGGTACACGATACGTTTTTCTCTGTATCGATACAAGACATACATTTGCTGAAACAAATTATTTACTACTCGCTTAATGACCCCTGGCGATTTTGTCAGTCAGATATAGGAAAATGTCTTGCAATTAACGTTTCAAGTTCACTACTCAAAGAAGCCATTACGAACATGTGTCTACAGCTAGCTTGTCCTTTCGGACCTCCTCTGAAATATTTATTGTCAAGAAGTTTCTATGCGATTTGACGTAAATATGCGTATAAAGACCATATCGTATTGTGACCTATGTATCGCGATACGTATCGTTTCGTGACCTATGTATCGCGATACGTATCGTATCGTGACCTATGTATCGCGATACCTATCGTATCGTGACCTATGTATCGCGATACCTATCGTATCGTGACTTATGTATCGCGATACCTATCGTATCGTGACCTATGTATCGCGATACCTATTGTATCGTGACCTTGCTGTGTCGTTTCACCCCTATTATTTAGTGGAAGTAACGAATCTCAGGTATTTGGAGTAAAATTGTTTCATTATCAAAGATAGAATGAATACTAGTACCCTTAAGACATAGACGTTTAATTTACAGTCAGAAGTTCCACATTTACCTGACACGGCCGTGTCTACATTCAGGTAGGCAACGGTTCGAGCCCCAAGGTTCTTCATATACTCCTGAAACACCGACAGTAAGCTACCTGTATCACAGTGCATAGGACTCAATTACACAGACTGAGCGTTTACTGTTCGTACGTGTCAATAGGAACCTTTCATGCAGGATTACAATATATATAAATGTTACACTTTACATACGTGCATCATTCTACATACCTCCACCCACTCGCTGGACCCCAGCGACCCGTATTCTTCTGCCCCCCAGCTGCAGAAGACGAGGGACCGGCGAGGGCGCCACTCACCTGTGGGAGTCAAATATGACCAGGGACCCGTTCCACGGAGCGATCATAGCACTCCGACTGTCGTAAGCCCATGTTAAAGTATTGGAGCTACGATCGCTCTGTCGATCGGGGCCCTGGTGTAGGAGCATCTTCTATCTGCTGGGTTGCACGTCTGAACCCGTCACCCGATACCCCCATTACTCCACCTCCCCCAACATCCAACACCACCACTTGGAGCAGCACACGCATATGTGTCTTTAAGCAAGGTAGACACAATTTTATGGATAACAGCTTCTTTAATACTGTAAAAAGCGACGTTTCGGTATAGATCCTTGCTTGACAACGGTATAAGGATCTATACCGAAACGTCGCTTTTTATAGTATTAAAGAAGTTGTTATCCATAAAATTGTGTCTACCTTGTCACCCGCCTCTTCTAAGTGATGCATATCAAAAAATTTGTCTTTGAGCTGAAGTATTTTTTTCAAATGTTGATATAAAAATGCCCAATGGACCAGGGGAGTAAAAATATATTGAATACCCAAAAGGTTATCAATACCCAATGTGAATTATAACCCAATGACTCAGAACGTATCTTGATCCCTGCTACAATGAAACATCGTGAAGCAGAACCCCGTTATCTCGAAACATCGTCTAAGGCGATGTAAATGTAAGGTCTGGATATATGCAGTATCGACACTATGGATAACTCGACATTCACAGATGGTCCCAGGAGAAGTATATCAGGACCAACTGACCACTGCTGACCATCTCCGCCATGACTCGGGCCGCTTCCATCATGGCCGCAGTACCACTGGACGGGTCCATTGCTCCAAACACCCATGCGTCTCTATGGTTACCAAGAATAACATAGCGATCTGAAAAAAGAAGTTATATTATATATGCCACTTGAATTCCGTCATGGGGCGGTGGAGCAGCCAACTAGTTATGATTTTGCTTGTGAAGCCGAATATGCCGGTTCGACTCCCCATGTGAGTATATATGTGAGCCCATTCTTGGTGGCCGCCGCCATCACATAGCTGGAAAATTGCTAAAAGACTCGTAAATCCTTATTCACTCAATCACAGTGAATGCTACCAAGCATACACACAGCTCAACCAATATGTCTACTGAACTATTTCATACTGTTTACACATACATATCAACCAGATATCAGTATTATGTAATATTACAGGGTGTCTAAGGCGTCGCAATTCGCTGAAAAGAGTTGCATCCCTTAGCCGCGCCCGGATCATATGACCTTCGGTTTCAAATTGTCTCCAAGCAAGCGAACCGGCACAGCCTAGCGCAAATGGTAGTAGTAGTAGTAGTAGTAGTAGTAGAGTAGTAGTAGTTAAAGCGTACGCGCGTCACGCCGAAGGCCCGGGTTGGATCCCCACGTGGGTACAATGTGTGAAGCCAATGACATTGCCGGAATATTGCTAAAAGCGGCGTAAAACTATACTGACTCACCCCCTCGATCGCTCTATCCACATAATCGTCCTTCTATCGCTTCACCCACCTGGTTCAACGGCTCCGGTAATGATGCCTATAGTGTTGTAAGTGACGTTCCTCTGATTCCTTGTGGAGATACGCATCTCCACGTCTCTGAAGTCGAAATGAACATTTGTGCATCCCAGAAAGATCCTATACAACATTACCTTCTATCGACGGATACGACGTTTATCAGTCATTATCAAAAGATTTTCAGTAGGGTGATAATAAAACCTTCTTTAACTGATTTTGGTCACGATGTTGTTTTTCAAACTACTTAGAATCTGCGATTGAAACAAAAAAATATTATTTGTTGATCATTTAATAATATTTAATATAATTATAGAGATCTCTGGTGAAAGCAGAAACCATGGTACGATTCCGACTATATCATACTCACGTGTTTATAAATCACTATCAAATAGTGAGGTGGTGAGGAGGCGTCCAAGATTATTGCACTTATATAGTGACGTGCATGCACGTGTATGTGTGTGTGTGTGTGGCTGCTTGTACTAGTCCGGACTGATGCCGATTTATAGTGCTAGCACACTGAGATACCATGCCGCAGTTTAACAGGAATATCCCACTCAGACACAGTATACTGACTCCGAGCCGACCAGTCCTTGTTTTAGCCCCTTAATGCCGAGCGCCAGACAGGGTAACAACAAGTACCATATATAAACGTCTTTTGGTATGACGCGGCTGGGGATCGAACCCCGGACCTTCCGCTCTCCTGGCGGACGCTCTACCATTATACCACGGAGGCGGTCACTATGAAATAGTGATGAGTATAGTAATACGAATCGGGTGTTCTTTAACTTCTTTTGAGTAGTATAGTATATATGGTGTATGTTGCACGTTCATATGTCATGTGTCTATAAACTGGAACGTTTGACCAGCTAATGTTTACTACTGAAAAGAAGTTAAATAGCACTTAATGTGAGAGTATGTCTGTGCATAGTTACTGATAACATGGGACCCGTGAAGATACGGGTCATCAGCAATCCATGCTTGCCGTAAAAGGCGACTGTGCTTGTTGTATAGGCGACTAACGGGATCGGGTGGTCAGGCTCACTGACTTGGTTGATGCATGTCATCGTATCCCAATTGTGTAGATCGTTACTCATGATATCAATCACTGGATTGTCTGGTCCAGACTCAATTATTTACAGACCACCACCATATGGCTGGAATATTGGGGGAATAACATGGTTCAAGGACCGTGAGAAAGACGAGTTGATACGGTATAGCTCTGAAGCCCGTACTTGAGCGTCTGGTTGCTGAACCCAGGTCCGTATCTGTACACGATGTCCATCCCCCCTGACCAGTCCGACCTCACAGCTGACCCGCTCATGTACCTAGTGACAGACGATGGAACAACGTGCTACTTGCAATATACAGTTTCCAATCACTGATATATCCTATACTACTCAACTTTTGATAGGGTTAAACATATATGTTAGATATATGTATATACTTGACATATTATCAGTTTTGTGTTTCATGGACAGATACTGAATATCCCTTTAAAAGGCGGAGTGGTATATAAACAACATAATGCTCAGCGGGCATTTGACAGTCCTAGCAAACAGTATTTCTTTTTGTCTTTAAAAAATGCCCACATTATACAAAGAGTGAGTGAGTAGGGCTTCACGCCGCTTTTAGCAAAATCCCAGCAATATGACGGCGGGGGACACCCTAAATGGGCTTCACACATTGTACCCTTGAATCGAACCTGGGCCCTCGGCTTGACGAGCGAACGCTTTAACCACTAGGCTACCCCAAGTAATAAACTCTCTTGAATATATATTTGAAAAAATCCATCAACATTCGAATTCTCTCGTGAGCATCATCCTGAAACAAACTAACTGAAGTTTTATATTTTTGTGACCCACTGGCCAATTTAATTGAACATGACGTGTTATTTTGTGAGAGACAGAACCAGAAACCAAATTTGGTCCAAATTCTTCTAACATCTGTGGAGGCTTTCCCTCGGTATTTAAAACAGCCACTACGAGACAGGGTACCACCGCCCATTATACCCATTGATATACCTTTGCTTTCAGTGACTGACTTCATTTCTTTATTATTATTTTGGTAATATATGTTTATGAAACATACATGCAATCTCTAGGTTGACAACATCCACGGTCCGTGATCAATGTACATGCAGATGTTTGACATTAGTATGGCACGTCCCTGGACATATACAAGTAAATACAGTAGACTACGTTTATAACGAACACGCTTATAACGAACTGATTGATATAACGAACTGGTTTTCTTGGGGTCCCGGCAACTTGCTGTATATATGTTGTATAAATGCTTATACGGTTATAACGAACTGGAATTAGTGCGCCCTTTTGGTTCCATGACAGACACGAGTTACCCACTTCATGATGTTCTTGGCCTCGCCATAGCTGATGGGGTGCACGGGGATAGCGGGCAGGTTGATCTGGGACTCCGGCACTCGGTACGCAGTCCCTACGTAATGAAGTTAACGCTTTATTACCTTTCATAACGATTTACACACGTGGTGTACATCCAAGTATAGATTCAAGTTTATTTCACGTTGAAACAGGTATTTCAGTTATGGTTGTTATTAAAGTACCAATCAAGTGATATTGAATGATAAACAACATGGTTCGTGTGCTCACCACCAACATTTACACAAGTGAGTCAAAGGGTCGTTTACAAAATATTAATGTGTTTGCTTCTATTAATCTGTTTAGACCCATCCTTGGTTTGCTTCTGATTTTAATCTGTTTACATGTATGAGCCCCATTTGTTTTATCGCTGACGTGTATGCATGTCTTTCCTATAAAACGAATTGGATAAGGCCAGAAAAAATAAGTATTTGATTTTCATTCCCGCCCGCCTCACTACCAAACACGCCGCCTGTTTATTAATTCATTTGACGTAAATATGCGTATAAAGACCATATCGTATTGTGACCTATGTATCGCGATACGTATCGTTTCGTGACCTATGTATCGCGATACGTATCGTATCGTGACCTATGTATCGCGATACCTATCGTATCGTGACCTATGTATCGCGATACCTATCGTATCGTGACTTATGTATCGCGATACCTATCGTATCGTGACCTATGTATCGCGATACCTATTGTATCGTGACCTTGCTGTGTCGTTTCACCCCTATTATTTAGTGGAAGTAACGAATCTCAGGTATTTGGAGTAAAATTGTTTCATTATCAAAGATAGAATGAATACTAGTACCCTTAAGACATAGACGTTTAATTTACAGTCAGAAGTTCCACATTTACCTGACACGGCCGTGTCTACATTCAGGTAGGCAACGGTTCGAGCCCCAAGGTTCTTCATATACTCCTGAAACACCGACAGTAAGCTACCTGTATCACAGTGCATAGGACTCAATTACTCAGACTGAGCGTTTACTGTTCGTACGTGTCAATAGGAACCTTTCATGCAGGATTACAATATATATAAATGTTACACTTTACATACGTGCATCATTCTACATACCTCCACCCACTCGCTGGACCCCAGCGACCCGTATTCTTCTGCCCCCCAGCTGCAGAAGACGAGGGACCGGCGAGGGCGCCACTCACCTGTGGGAGTCAAATATGACCAGGGACCCGTTCCACGGAGCGATCATAGCACTCCGACTGTCGTAAGCCCATGTTAAAGTATTGGAGCTACGATCGCTCTGTCGAACGGGGCCCTGGTGTAGGAGCATCTTCTATCTGCTGGGTTGCACGTCTGAACCCGTCACCCGATACCCCCATTACTCCACCTCCCCCAACATCCAACACCACCACTTGGAGCAGCACACGCACATGTGTCTTTAAGCAAGGTTGACACAATTTTATGGATAACAACTTCTTTAATACTGTAAAAAGCGACGTTTCGGTATAGATCCTTGCTTGACAACGGTATAAGGATCTATACCGAAACGTCGCTTTTTATAGTATTAAAGAAGTTGTTATCCATAAAATTGTGTCTACCTTGTCACCCGCCTCTTCTAAGTGATGCATATCAAAAAATTTGTCTTTGAGCTGAAGTATTTTTTTCAAATGTTGATATAAAAATGCCCAATGGACCAGGGGAGTAAAAATATATTGAATACCCAAAAGGTTATCAATACCCAATGTGAATTATAACCCAATGACTCAGAACGTATCTTGATCCCTGCTACAATGAAACATCGTGAAGCAGAACCCCGTTATCTCGAAACATCGTCTAAGGCGATGTAAATGTAAGGTCTGGATATATGCAGTATCGACACTATGGATAACTCGACATTCACAGATGGTCCCAGGAGAAGTATATCAGGACCAACTGACCACTGCTGACCATCTCCGCCATGACTCGGGCCGCTTCCATCATGGCCGCAGTACCACTGGACGGGTCCATTGCTCCAAACACCCATGCGTCTCTATGGTTACCAAGAATAACATAGCGATCTGAAAAAAGAAGTTATATTATATATGCCACTTGAATTCCGTCATGGGGCGGTGGAGCAGCCAACTAGTTATGATTTTGCTTGTGAAGCCGAATATGCCGGTTCGACTCCCCATGTGAGTATATATGTGAGCCCATTCTTGGTGGCCGCCGCCATCACATAGCTGGAAAATTGCTAAAAGACTCGTAAATCCTTATTCACTCAATCACAGTGAATGCTACCAAGCATACACACAGCTCAACCAATATGTCTACTGAACTATTTCATACTGTTTACACATACATATCAACCAGATATCAGTATTATGTAATATTACAGGGTGTCTAAGGCGTCGCAATTCGCTGAAAAGAGTTGCATCCCTTAGCCGCGCCCGGATCATATGACCTTCGGTTTCAAATTGTCTCCAAGCAAGCGAACCGGCACAGCCTAGCGCAAATGGTAGTAGTAGTAGTAGTAGTAGTAGTAGAGTAGTAGTAGTTAAAGCGTACGCGCGTCACGCCGAAGGCCCGGGTTGGATCCCCACGTGGGTACAATGTGTGAAGCCAATGACATTGCCGGAATATTGCTAAAAGCGGCGTAAAACTATACTGACTCACCCCCTCGATCGCTCTATCCACATAATCGTCCTTCTATCGCTTCACCCACCTGGTTCAACGGCTCCGGTAATGATGCCTATAGTGTTGTAAGTGACGTTCCTCTGATTCCTTGTGGAGATACGCATCTCCACGTCTCTGAAGTCGAAATGAACATTTGTGCATCCCAGAAAGATCCTATACAACATTACCTTCTATCGACGGATACGACGTTTATCAGTCATTATCAAAAGATTTTCAGTAGGGTGATAATAAAACCTTCTTTAACTGATTTTGGTCACGATGTTGTTTTTCAAACTACTTAGAATCTGCGATTGAAACAAAAAAATATTATTTGTTGATCATTTAATAATATTTAATATAATTATAGAGATCTCTGGTGAAAGCAGAAACCATGGTACGATTCCGACTATATCATACTCACGTGTTTATAAATCACTATCAAATAGTGAGGTGGTGAGGAGGCGTCCAAGATTATTGCACTTATATAGTGACGTGCATGCACGTGTATGTGTGTGTGTGTGTGGCTGCTTGTACTAGTCCGGACTGATGCCGATTTATAGTGCTAGCACACTGAGATACCATGCCGCAGTTTAACAGGAATATCCCACTCAGACACAGTATACTGACTCCGAGCCGACCAGTCCTTGTTTTAGCCCCTTAATGCCGAGCGCCAGACAGGGTAACAACAAGTACCATATATAAACGTCTTTTGGTATGACGCGGCTGGGGATCGAACCCCGGACCTTCCGCTCTCCTGGCGGACGCTCTACCATTATACCACGGAGGCGGTCACTATGAAATAGTGATGAGTATAGTAATACGAATCGGGTGTTCTTTAACTTCTTTTGAGTAGTATAGTATATATGGTGTATGTTGCACGTTCATATGTCATGTGTCTATAAACTGGAACGTTTGACCAGCTAATGTTTACTACTGAAAAGAAGTTAAATAGCACTTAATGTGAGAGTATGTCTGTGCATAGTTACTGATAACATGGGACCCGTGAAGATACGGGTCATCAGCAATCCATGCTTGCCGTAAAAGGCGACTGTGCTTGTTGTATAGGCGACTAACGGGATCGGGTGGTCAGGCTCACTGACTTGGTTGATGCATGTCATCGTATCCCAATTGTGTAGATCGTTACTCATGATATCAATCACTGGATTGTCTGGTCCAGACTCAATTATTTACAGACCACCACCATATGGCTGGAATATTGGGGGAATAACATGGTTCAAGGACCGTGAGAAAGACGAGTTGATACGGTATAGCTCTGAAGCCCGTACTTGAGCGTCTGGTTGCTGAACCCAGGTCCGTATCTGTACACGATGTCCATCCCCCCTGACCAGTCCGACCTCACAGCTGACCCGCTCATGTACCTAGTGACAGACGATGGAACAACGTGCTACTTGCAATATACAGTTTCCAATCACTGATATATCCTATACTACTCAACTTTTGATAGGGTTAAACATATATGTTAGATATATGTATATACTTGACATATTATCAGTTTTGTGTTTCATGGACAGATACTGAATATCCCTTTAAAAGGCGGAGTGGTATATAAACAACATAATGCTCAGCGGGCATTTGACAGTCCTAGCAAACAGTATTTCTTTTTGTCTTTAAAAAATGCCCACATTATACAAAGAGTGAGTGAGTAGGGCTTCACGCCGCTTTTAGCAAAATCCCAGCAATATGACGGCGGGGGACACCCTAAATGGGCTTCACACATTGTACCCTTGAATCGAACCTGGGCCCTCGGCTTGACGAGCGAACGCTTTAACCACTAGGCTACCCCAAGTAATAAACTCTCTTGAATATATATTTGAAAAAATCCATCAACATTCGAATTCTCTCGTGAGCATCATCCTGAAACAAACTAACTGAAGTTTTATATTTTTGTGACCCACTGGCCAATTTAATTGAACATGACGTGTTATTTTGTGAGAGACAGAACCAGAAACCAAATTTGGTCCAAATTCTTCTAACATCTGTGGAGGCTTTCCCTCGGTATTTAAAACAGCCACTACGAGACAGGGTACCACCGCCCATTATACCCATTGATATACCTTTGCTTTCAGTGACTGACTTCATTTCTTTATTATTATTTTGGTAATATATGTTTATGAAACATACATGCAATCTCTAGGTTGACAACATCCACGGTCCGTGATCAATGTACATGCAGATGTTTGACATTAGTATGGCACGTCCCTGGACATATACAAGTAAATACAGTAGACTACGTTTATAACGAACACGCTTATAACGAACTGATTGATATAACGAACTGGTTTTCTTGGGGTCCCGGCAACTTGCTGTATATATGTTGTATAAATGCTTATACGGTTATAACGAACTGGAATTAGTGCGCCCTTTTGGTTCCATGACAGACACGAGTTACCCACTTCATGATGTTCTTGGCCTCGCCATAGCTGATGGGGTGCACGGGGATAGCGGGCAGGTTGATCTGGGACTCCGGCACTCGGTACGCAGTCCCTACGTAATGAAGTTAACGCTTTATTACCTTTCATAACGATTTACACACGTGGTGTACATCCAAGTATAGATTCAAGTTTATTTCACGTTGAAACAGGTATTTCAGTTATGGTTGTTATTAAAGTACCAATCAAGTGATATTGAATGATAAACAACATGGTTCGTGTGCTCACCACCAACATTTACACAAGTGAGTCAAAGGGTCGTTTACAAAATATTAATGTGTTTGCTTCTATTAATCTGTTTAGACCCATCCTTGGTTTGCTTCTGATTTTAATCTGTTTACATGTATGAGCCCCATTTGTTTTATCGCTGACGTGTATGCATGTCTTTCCTATAAAACGAATTGGATAAGGCCAGAAAAAATAAGTATTTGATTTTCATTCCCGCCCGCCTCACTACCAAACACGCCGCCTGTTTATTAATTCACAGAATTTGTGTGTTCCCTTGTTCCTTAGTTTACTTAATGTAATACACCCTATACACGTATTCCAGCTTGACACCTGTGGGTTGTTGATATACATATGCGTCTTAAATAGTTTCAAATGGTTTTGAAAGCTCTACTGAGGCCTTGAATTTTGTAAACTTGATCAAACAGCTATGAACCTAAATACATTTTCTAAAACATCGCAACAATGTATATTTGTAGCTGACAGTTTCAACAATCTGTGACAATCATTATTTCAACATTATTGTTACTTTGTCTTTATTATGTATTACGTCCGCACCAGGGGTGTGTGTGTGTGTGTGTGTGTGTGTGTGGATAGATAGATAGATAGATAGATCATGTGATCGTTCCTCTCATCGTACGCCGTTTTGCCCATGTGTCAGGAGCGAGGAACAAACGCGTTAACCACATGGTTACGCCCACATGTTTGATCCCCTCTTAATATTCGCAAAGAATGCTTACCTATAGACGGGTACCCGGGAGTTTCGGGATCACCGTCAGTGACAAACAGCGTCCCTCTTTGAACCCCCGTGGGTGGGAGCCACCAGCTGTGAGGGTACACGTCACTAGAGTTACCTCCCCTTGCATAATCGGCAGGATCAGTGTATATCATCAAACCGATGGCGCCATGCTTCTGGGCCGCTTTCGCCTATTAGAATAGTTGAAATCCAGATGAATAAACTGGTTCTTCACGCATCAAGCAAGGGCCTCCAGCTCGTTTTATTGGGTGGTCGTATATAGCTACGACTAGCGTAGGTTCTAAAGTAGAGTTGAGATGGCTGGACATCCTTAATCATCCAGAATTAGTGAGTGAGTTGGGTTAACACCGCTTTGAACAGTATTCCAATTATTCACCACGTGCCCCCAATCATCTAGAGGACTACGTCTCCATTTTGTTATGATAAATACCGTGAAGCATTTCGCTACCATAATTTCGTTTGGAAGTGACGTGACCGTCTGCATCCATCTAATCATGATTGTTTGTTTGTTTGTGTGTTTGTTGTTAAACGCCACACTCAGCAGTATTCCAGCTATATGACAGCGCTCTGTAAATAATCAAGTCTGGGCCAGACAATCCATTGATTGATGTCATGAGCATCGATCCACGCAAATGGGATACGATGACATGCATCAACCAAGACAGTGAGCCTGACTACCCGATCCCGTTAGTCGCCTGTTACGGCAAGGATGGGTTGCTGAAGACCTATTCTACCCGGGATCTTCACGGGTCCCATCTTATCAGTAACTCACATTGAGTGAAGTGCTCTTTCACTTCTTTTCAGTAGTATGCAATATGTTGGTCAACTGTTCCAGTTTATAGACAAGTTGACTCTTCCATCAACTTTGATTCAAGTAACTCATGCACGCCTTGTTGACACTCTGGTGGCCACCTTCGTGTCGCAAGGGTTGATCATGGGTAGGCACGTACCTTATCGCCTCTGTAGATCTTGCCGTACCTGGCGATGACGATGTTCCCTGTGACGTTGATGTTGACGACGTCTGTGACGTACTTGAAATCTTCGTCACGGCCGTAATTGACGTACACCAGGTTCCCCTATACATAAGTCAAATGTCACTGAACCGAGCTAAAAGACATTCACAATCCATTCTGTAAGGGACGGACCATAAGAGTTCAAGACATACATAGACTTAAGGACAGTCATCCTGCTAAAAATGTTTTGTAGAACTGGACACAATGGATTGACATTCTGCTAACGATCTTTGAACTACGACCTTCTTTATACGCTAAGGATAGATGTAGATCTAGTTCACCTAAAGCCCACTTCCGATCGTTGTATCAAGAGATCGCGACGCGATTATAACTTTTCCAAGACACCTCATCGGTACTAGAATTAAGAATTAAGAATATTATTTTTGTTTTAGGGAGCATCATTTCTTTTCTGTTGCGCTGGGTTTTTTTTAAATATGCCCAAATGAATCATGTGTTCCATTGGTGATAAATATGAATACTTTTGGGTTTTGGGGGAAATACCCAAACGTCAAAATGTTTGTGTTAAAAGTGAACATGAATGATAGATTGTTTGAAGATGCTCAGCAAATAAATAGTTTTTGGACACAGCTGGGGAAAAATACAAATCAAATGGATGTTGGTTTATGCTGAAGAATTAAATGACGGCTTATTGATGGAGAGAAGCCCGAGCTGATGCAGGTTTTAGACGTGTGTGACGCTGACATACCAAGGATCATAATCAGAGCGAACCTGGGATTCGACCTAACGATCATAGGATCCTGGTACAACAAAGGGACGGAGTCTTGCCCATGGAAATACTGCCCTTTATACGACTGGGCCGCCGTGCTCCCTGGTTACAGGCAATCATAGGAAGTTTTAGGAACTGAGCTAGTCGTGCCATAAGATGGCTTCGTGGAACCACGCCCCTTTCGCGAAAGATATCTTAGCTGTAGCGACTAAGTGTGCCATAGAACAAAGCAGGTTCCGATTCAGTACCACGTTCAATAGACCCGTGAAATTCCGGGTAGGAATTAATCTTCAGTAACACATGCTTGTCGTGAGGAGGCGACTAACGGGATCGTGTGGTCAGACTCGCTGACTTGGTTGATGCATGACATAATATCTCAGTTGCGTAGAACGATGTTCGTGGTTGGATAGTCTGGTCCGGGGTCGATTATTTAGAGACCGCCGTTATACAGCTGGAATATTACTGGGTGCGGCGTTAAACAATAAACAAACATAGGCCTACGACAGCGCCAAGATCGCCTCGTGGGACCCAGTTCTATTACAACTGTCTTACCGTAACTGTACCGTTCGCAGAGTAGGCATTGAATGGCGGCACGACACCGGGCACGTTCTCTCTGGGCGTCAGAATGGCCTCCGTCAAGGGTGACTCGTACAGGATCTCGTCATTCTGGCCTCGAACCCGCACCACGTTAGGATTCTCGGGATCCGGGTAGGACATCAGTACGTCATAGGGCGTGATGGTGACGTCATCAAAGCCTTGCTGTTTCCACAGATCAGCCAGCTCCTTGGCCTGGGTGTAGTCGGCCGGGGTCCCCGCTAGGTGGGGTTTGGAGGTCAGCTGCCTGGAACCAATATAGCTGAATATAAAGTACAGTAATAGAAGGAGAATTCTTTTGTTTATAGGGGCGGTCGGGTAGCCCATGTGCAGCCCATTTCTGGTGTCCCCCGCCGTGATATTGCTGGAATATTGCTAAGAGCGGCGAAAAACCATACTCACTCACTCACTCACATTTGTTTATTCATCTGCAGTTTCTAAAACATCTGTATGTTCGGAATGGTTTTGTTTATATCACGGTTTAATGTTGGAGGAAAGTCCGAACTGATGCAGAACTGATGGGTATGGGATTCGAACCCACGATCACAGGATCCTGGCACTACTAAGGGACGCAACCTTACACATCGAATTACCACCCTCCTTTATACGACTGGTCCACCGACCGCTTCCCTGGTTATAAGGTCACAGCAGGTAGTTTTGGCTTGACGCGGCCGGGGATCCAACCACCGACCTTCCGTTCTCCAGGCAGCAGCTATGATGTATCCACTACACCACGGAGGCCGCCTAAACGGGAACTGAACACCGATCTGCCCCAAAGTGTATCATAGCGAGACCCATAATCAAACCAACCCGGACCTCAAATAATATATGATTTCTTCCGCATATTTTGTTTACTTGTACTCGTATATGATAAGTTGTACCTGAGATTTTCCCGGATATTTCCCGCCTTGATCCTGGACGCGAGCTTCTCGTGAATGGTGTCGTCTGCTTCTTGAACAATCGCCCGAGGCACTCCACTTAAAAACGCGTCATTGCCCTGTGAAGAGATGGCGAACCTACCAATCAGCAGACCGATGATGAACGTGGCCAGCAGGCTCACTCCAGCCACAATCAGCTTCCTTCGTGGACCAGAGAGGATGGCCATCGCCATGTTGCCGTCGGACAGGTAATGTCGCGGTGACTGTGAGAGCAGGGCGTCTGTACCTGCATGAACGCTCTTGATTGCTGAAGCAGTCCGTGACGTGATCAGAATAACACTTCACGATGTGCTGTGCTTCAGTTGACGTCCATCCAGTTCTTCCACGACTCAAGTTGATGACATGCACTTTCAATGAGATACACTTTGGTGAAACGGTCCGTCTTAGCTTCTTGGAGTTGTATTCGGGTGGTCGTGTTTTAGCCCTCTATTATTAGTGATTCGGTAGGTAAATGAATGTTGTTTTCTGCAGTCAGCAATATTTCATACGTCTGGCGTATCGCCATCTTGAATTTCTGGCGTTGTCGACAACAGATCAACGACGTAAGGACCACCAGTTATATGACCGACAACCACACATCTACCCATTTGATGCCAACGACCCTATGACGAAACAAGAAGAAATTAACTTATGTGATATTCTTGGGAAATGTAAGCTTTTCACTAGCAATAGGAACGTTCACCTATATCATTTAAATAAGTGCACTTCATAATCTGGTAATCAACAATGGTTGGTGAATATAACAGTTACAGTGGGAGTGCAGTTGTCTAGATGGAGCAGCTGGTAATTTCAAGAGACGATACTTTATAACGTCGCAGTCACCAATTACATCTGTATTTATGCGGCTTCTACTGTTAATAGCCAAGTCTAGGCCAGTTCGACGAACCATTGGCCATGTTAGTTGAGTTGAACAAGCACCGTCTGGGTTCAATGACATACATTCAGAACCACGGATCGTCATTAGTCAATTTGCGACAAACGTCGAATATTGGGGGCCTATTCTATTCTGAAATCCGACGTTGGCGTTGTCACGCGGGGAGAAAATCGTGAACTAGTCTAAGGGAGACAATCCGACAATCGTATCTGTGGAAGCGCTATTTAGATGAAGCGCTACTAAAATAACCACGAAACCGATAATGTTCAGCAGAACAGTGAGATTGATATTTGTGAAGGTTACGCGCGTTTACATACAAAATACTGTTACGTTGGGTTCAATGGTTTTATCAGTGGGGGCTGTAAGCGGTGCGTTGTAAGAGATTTCTGTCTTTATTTTATCAAAATTGTTTCCTTCCATGAAGGCCCCAAAAATTGCACCCTGACCCACCTATTCAGGCAGGCGGTGCGGAAAACGTATTTCACGGGTGTCAGCAGTCTTGCTCTCACTTAGCGATCCTTGAGCAAGCTCGCAGCCCCCGATAAGGACAGTTAAATTATAAACATGTTCCAGGGAGCTTATAAATGCTAACCATTTGCACAGGAAAATGGTGTGCAGTCGTTGGGTCAATGATTTCAACATATTTATTGATAAAAAATAATATTTCAAATACATATTATAACCACATTTATATAACATGTCATTTGAATTAAAGAAGAAAAATATAATTGAACTGTGTATATATTATTTACCACTTACATGTGAGCGGATCCATGTATCAACGTAATGAAGTTCAAATTGGGAATGTTTCACTGTATTCATTACGTATATGCATTTTTCAAAAGGACTCTTTAACAGTAATGTTCCCATTTTGAGTTAGGATTGTCCCCCAGCGACCTGTCCTGATCGCAAAGTAGACCTAACTATTATGGACAACAACTTTATTATACTGTGATAGCGACGTTTCCGGTATAGATCCATATACCCTTGTCAAGCAAGACTGAATAATGAACATGGTACAGAATTATATATGGTGCGTGACAGATTAACACTGACAACAATTAATATAAAATTGAGCAGTTGTCTAAGGGAGACAACGTCATATATTCCATGCAAAAGTCACGACCCGACAACCTTGTCCGCGGAGGCGTTATCAGATGAAGCGCTACTAAAATAACCACGAAACCGATAATGTTCTGCAGAACAGTAATAGATGGGAATATATCTAAATCGAATGCAAAGGTTGTACGCACTTTCTAGACATTATACTGTAACATGTTCAATGGTTTTCTCAGTGGGAGGCTGTAAGCGGTGTGTTATAAGAGATTTCTGCCATTATTTTATCATAATTGTTTCCTTCCATGAAGGCCCCAAAAATTGCACCCTGACCCACCTATTCAGGCAGGCGGTGCGGTAAACGTATTTCACGGGTGTTAGCAGTCTTGCTCTCACTTAGCGATCCTTGAGCAAGCTCGCAGCCCCCGATAAGGACAGTTAAATTTGTATACATGTTCCAGGGAGCTTATAAATGCTAACCATTCGCACAGGAAAATGGTGTGCAGTCGTTGGGTCGATGATTTCAACATATTTATTTATTAAAGCTAATGTTTCAAATACATGTTATAACCACATTTATATGACATATGTCATTTGAATTACAGAAGAAAAATAATATTGAAATGTTCAATGATTTATTTAAATATAGTTTTAATGATGATATATTTTTGGTAGGGAGTAATCATTTTACGGTACATTTTTTAAATCTTTATTTCATATCATTGATGCTGCGACGAGTAGATAAAGTATATCACAATCCAATTATGATCGTAACTACATCTTCACCAAACTCTGGTCACAAATTATGGTTATGTTTGATAACATTTAATAAATACAAAAATGCGCAATAACTGCTCCCAATATTTACATGTCGCCGAGTGACGTGACGTCACAAACAAGCACCTGTTTGGAATGCCTATTTGTGAATGGTTTGTCTGCTTCATAAACAACTAGCGGAGCAGTGAATTGGAGGTTTTGTGCAGGAATATGGGCGTGTAACAGTAAGTAGACAATGAATGATGTTCAGCAAAAGACGTATTAAATCTTGTTTCCCTAAATCACATACATATCAGTCATTTGTTGTGATTTAGAAAAGTTTTCATGTCAAACCAGATTAGTGATTGCTGAAACGAATCGTGGGTCTCTACTCACGAAGTAAACAGCGGATGCATTTTACAAAATTATGAAAAATCTGAAATGGTGTTTATTTTTTATTTGCCTAAATGTTATCTTATTTTCAAATTAGACCACTCCACATCAAAGAAATTTATTTTTTCTGCACTACTGGGGTGGAAAAAAAGTTACGATTTTATGAAAAAGTGATTTTCAATATCAAGAGTATTTTATCATAATTGTACAAAATTAACACAGGTTGACTGTCCATATTGTAGCAGTGATAATTAGTAGTAATCATAATTTTTAGATAACCTAAACAGGGGTTGTTCATTTAACTCTATCCGGGTGATCATCAATATAATATTTTTAAGTGACATTTCAAAAGGTGTAGTATGGAGAGCTGACATCTCTATTCTTTCATAGCAACATTTTGGAACAGAAGCTAGTACCTATATCAAAAAAGTTTAAATTCATGTCAACTGCTGTCTTCATTATCAGCAGGGGCAGTTGGGTAGCCTAGTGGTTTAATGTGCTCGTTCGTCACTCTAAACGCCCGGGTTTGATTCCCCACATGGATACAATGTGTGAAGCTCATTTCTGGTGTCCCTGCCAATGATATAGCTGGAATATTGCAAAAAGCGGCATAAAACCATTCTCACTCATTATCAGCATAGTTCAACATGTGAGACAAAGGGTGTGATGATCAGGGTTTCCAAGCATCATAAGCTACGTCATCTTAAACCATACACACAGTCGACTCTCGTAACCCAAGGACTGAGCCAAAAGTATCTACATGTATCTATCCACTTTGCCACTTATCCAACAAGGGTGTGTCTAACTTTGTTTATTTCTTAGTTCTTGTCAGCACCATTATCAGAGAGACTATCCCATTACTGAGTTGGTGTCAGTGCCAGTAATGAAGAGTAAGGACAGCAGAAATAAACACTCTGTGTCACATTCGTGACCAACTGTTATTCCGGGACAAGCCGAATAGCGACTCGTGCCCCTCTCACGGCCATTTTTGCATCCAGGTTCCGTCTTAGCGCACACGGGCAGACCTGAAACAATTGTCAACTCCTTGCCTAATGGTTCACATATATTTCCCCATATATCATAGATATTTTAGATGCAATTTAAAGCACAGCTGGACACTGCGGAATTATACAGTATGATTGAACACATTTAACTGTGTCTTGGGTATATTCTTAGATGCAAGACATATGTAAAATCAAAAATTATTTCTGAGGGATTCTTTGAAACTTGAACTTGAAATCATACACGCATTCTAATTGGTTTGTCATATTCATCGATAGGGGGATGAGTCTTCTTGCAGGTTACGGAAAGGGGCGAGTGGTGACGAATGACTGTGTCAGTGAGATACATGTTTTGTGTGAAGAATGTTTAACTAAGATGATCAGCAAGCCATTACCAGAGTGTTAGCATACAAATTCCTGTCTGGCGATACAATCAATTTCCCTATATAAAAGGTCTCGTGGACCAAGGAAATGTTCTACACATTTTGTCCACATACATGATTAAAGTTATTTATTTCTAATGCTGAATAATTTAGGAAGCAATCAGGATAAGAATTGAAGTATCTACTTTAATATCCACTTCTGTTTGTTTTCTGGTTACCACTAACAAAATTTGAGTGGATCGATGTATCAACCTAACAGAATTCAGATTAGCTATGTTTCGCTGTATTCAGAACATGCATTTAACAAAAGGTCCAATTTTGCGTTTGAATTGTCCCCCCAGCAACCTATTTTGATCGTAAGAGCAATTAATGGATAGAGCTGCCAGTTTCAGTGACTTAGTTGATTGCACGTCATCATACCCTGACTGTATTGGACATTGCTCATGATATCAGTCACTGTTTGTCTGGCCCAGGTTTAATTATTTTCAGGTCGTTGTCATATTTGTGGAATATTGCTGAGTGCAGCATTAAACAAAAAACTTTGTTGTTTAACGCTGCACTCAGCAATATTCCAGCTTTTTGACGATGGTCTGTAAATAATCAAGTCTGGACCAGACAATCCAGTTATTGACATCATGAGCACCAGTCCACGTAATTGGGATACAATGACATGCATCAACCAAGTCAGCAAGCCTGACCACCCGATCTGTTAGGCGCCTCTTGAGACAAGCAAAGTCGCCTTTTACAGCAAGCATGGGCTGCTGAAGACCTATTCTACCCCGGATCTTCACAGGTCAAACAACAAACTAGTATATGTGGGACTGAATTTCAGAATATTAAAAGTGTCAAAGAGCAAGCATTGTTCAAACACAAAGGAAATATGTTTCTGTTTGTGCTGGTGAATGTCAAACATTGCTGTCAGATAATCACTTTGATGTTGTAAGATATACGATCAAATAACAGTGTTTGCTTGTGACTGATATTTATCACCAGAGATTTTATCAACAATTTCAAAGATAAGAAATATATGTTGTATTGCATCATTCATATATATATATATTCTCATTACATGCTAATAATTTCCAACACTAAATGTGGTCCACAATCACAAACAAAATATGTAAATAATTTCCTAATCCACAGACTAATGAGACATAGTATTAACTTCCTTGGGTACTGAAGATAATTAAGGATCCTAATTAGCAAGTAAATTAATTAGCAAGTCCTGTTGTCTTCCTACAAAATGAAAGGAGCATCTAGGAAAGAGGAAGTTGAGATTAGCCAGGCAGTCAACCCTGTCCTTTTGTACAAGGAGAGGCCATCCTCTCTATCTCCAGGGCAACCCTGTCCTTTGTACAAGGAGAGGCCATCCACTCTATCTCCAGGGCAACCCTGTCCTTTGTACAAGGAGAGGCCATCCTCTCTATCTCCAGGGCAACCCTGTCCTTTGTCCAAGGAGAGGCCATCCTCTCTATCTCCAGGGCAACCCTGTCCTTTGTACAAGGAGAGGCCATCCTCTCTATCTCCAGGGCAACCCTGTCCTTTGTACAAGGAGAGGCCATCCTCTCTATCTCCAGGGCAACCCTGTCCTTTGTACAAGGAGAGGCCATCCTCTCTATCTCCAGGGCTCACATCTCGGTAACCCTGAACCAACCCCAGGATTTATTCCCATGGTTCTCGTGATCTCCAATAACCCGTCCTGGATTTTCATTAACATTTTACTTAGAATCAAACATCGAGATAAGAACTAAATGGGTAAGAGACTTGCCGCAGACAGTTTTGATGGACATGAAGACATACTTCCCTTTGTAAAGATTTTTTAGGGCTTTCTTTTGCGTGTCAGTCAGTTTTACAATGTTGAATTTCTCACAAACTCGTAATCAATGGGGTTGGTTGCCATGTTGTTGATATCTCCAATCCATGGAGGCTTGTTTTTAAGTTGCATTCTGATTGGTACATTTGACTGAGTATCGTAGGAAATCAAATTGGCTGATGAAATTCAAGTGGAGGTAATTTTAAATCACGAGTAGGGTTCAGGGGTTAGTGTAGGTTCAGCCCTGGAGAAAGAGAGGATACCTGAAAAGTGAGTGAGTGAGTGAGTACGGTTTTACGCCGCTTTTAGCAATATTCCAGCAATATCACGGCGGGGGACACCAGAAATGGGCTTCACACATTGTACCCATGTCAGGAATCGGATCCGGGTCTTCGGCGTGACGATCAAACGCTCTAACCACTAGGCTACCCTACCTGGAAAGGCCAACTAGAACAGGACATTATCTTGTTAACAAGTTGCCTGTGTTAATGAATGACAACATTAACACTTACTGTATGCAAACTTGGGGCTTTCCTCCCACATTGAGCTGACACGCTGTGATATGACTGGAAAACTGTTAAAAGCGGTGTTTACACAACTCCCTCACTATTGTATGCAAAAGTATATTTGTGCAACAACATTAACACTTATTATATGCTAAAGTATATTTGTGTAACAATATTTACACTTATTGTATGTTAGTGTTTATTTGTGTAACAATATTTACACTTATTGTATGTCAGTGTATATATGTGTAACAATATTTACACTTATTGTATGTCAGTGTATATTTGTGTAACTGAAAGTAATAATTGGATTCATTGCCTGAAATTGTGTGTATGTGTACGTATGTATTAGAGCTGGGACAAGTCCAAATGTACTACTAGAGTACCGAGGCCCCCATCACCTGACCCTACCCGTGTACCAGCTGTAGGTCTCAAGAGCTGGGTACAAAATATCTGATTGGGAACTGTTTTACCAGAGCCCTGACAAGAAATATTCAGATTTACGTATAAAACGAGATAAACAGAACAAACCTTTGAGATAAACAAAAGTTTGATACTAACAGTCCTTTGAGATAAACAGATCTTTGAGATACACAGGTAATATCTCGGAAAGATACAGGTGTTTTGTTCAGAGATATGACATGTTTTATCATTTCTGAAAAAAGTAATTGTGTCAAGATGGGTGAAATTAGAAATGAAATTCATTTTAACATTTATTTAATTTCAGGGAAAACATCAAAAGAAGGAGGCAGTGTTATACGAAAATGGGATGTGGTTCATCAACAGTGGGGGTCGCAAATCCCGAAACAAATGGCATGACCCCCGTGGATAAACAGTCACCAAACCACGCTGTGAAAAACGGACACACTTCACCAATAGCTAAGGAGCCAAATACTAAGAAGAAGAAAGAGAAGAAATCTACAGATTCCAATGCTAACATAGAAAGTGTGGAATCCAATAATCCAGGTATGTAGGATTCTGGGAGTGGGTTACTTTGATGCCTTTCTACAGTCAGGCGAGACAAGTTGAATTCTTTGTTTTAAGGAATCATATTGTGGCTATGCCAACAAGGAGGCAAGTTATAACTAAGTAACACAAAGATTGGTACAAGGGTCATTTCCAGAAGAAAACTGATAAATAAGGCCATCTGTTTTAAAGTCCTACAAGATTTTCATCCTTGCCTGCCTCATAACCTGCTTGGTTGCCCCATTAAATGACATGGAATCACTATACCTCTATGTCTCTATTAAGAGGAAGAAATTAATTTGTGATTGACATAAGATAAATGAGTTCGTACTTGAAAATTGTTTGATTGGATTCCACATTTAGTATTTTAAAGTAAGTAGGCAGATAGGCTCTAAAAGTTGATATTTTTCAGAAGGATTCTCAGTAAAACAGAATAAAAGACTTTTTAGGCACATAATTTTTATAAGAGCTTGGGGAAAAGGTGAAAAATGTATAAGCTCCCAAAAATGAATAAAAAAACCTCATAAGAACAGAAGTAAAACCCAAATTAGGCTAAAAAAACCAAGTCTCTCTAACTGGTTCTCAAGCACCACCCGCATCATCATAAAGTCTGCTGCACGTTTTGTTTTTATTTCCATTTTTAAAAAAATATAAAAATCCTAATACTTAAACACAATGCACCAAAAAAAAATTAAAATGAAAAAAAACACGAAACATGCAGTGAACTTTATGATGATGTGGGCAGTGCCTGAGAACCAAGACTATTATTTTCTTTAGCCTTAGACATCTATATTTTTTCCACTTCAGGAACAAATTCTCTTTCATCATGCCAATGTGTTTATGGGGAAGTTGAGGGGTACTGTATAATACAGTAGCACTTTCCTATCCCGTAGCAACTGTCAGTGAGCTGTACCTAGGTACCGTGAACAAGCATCAGTTGCTATGTACCAAGCATCCTCTATAGGCATTGAGTAACCGATGAAGTGTCATGACAAGGATGTTTCGTATTTCATTTATCGAATTTCTCACCTATTATCATTGCAACCATCAATATTTCATCCAGGATGAGGTTGTACAAATAGGCGTTGACACTTCTGAGGGGCATGCTATAGTCACATGATCTGTATTGAAAAGTGCATGTGCCTTGAGAACTCATGTTGTCTGTAACACATGTAAATGTTGCCGTTACTAAGATATTGATGTTTACTGAAACTGTACACCTTCATAAACATCAATAAAATGTAACAGCTTTTTTTTGTACGTGACATTTTTGACAGCTGAACATTCTGTAATGTATTTGTTTTCCAAGTAACAGTATAAGTGAACATGAGTGTTTGGGCTGGGACGGGTAACTCGGATATCTGGGTCGGGTGGGTACTGAGTAGGACCCGGGTACCCTCAGGACTACCCGGACCCGTAGTTAGTCACGTCATATATTGGCTAGAACTCTATGGTTACACTACAAGTCACTAATGTTCGCATTTCCTTCTAACTATGCACCTATTCCTTCTGATTTTTCATATGGTTGAATAAAGATATAACTTAATTCAACTTCAGTGCATGAATGACCAGATTGTTTAATACGTGTATCTAAATACGTTTTGCCAGGGCTATGCTAAAAATGTTCCCAATCGGACATTTTGAGACATCTCCTGAGACCTACAGTGGGTACCCGGGTAGGGTCGGGTAATAGGGGGGTGGGTACCCGAGTAGTAAATATGGACTCGTCCCAGCCCTAATGAGAGTTGTCACTTCCGATGTTGTTAACAACATCCATAAATTGTGTCTACTTCGTCATCCGTCAACTTCTAAGTAATGCTGATCAAACAATTCAGATGTTGTTGTTGTCAAGATTATATTTCAAGATATAATTTTCAACTACCATAATTAGATGTGACAAGGAATATCATGGATAACAACTTCGTTATTATACATAGAAAATTAATGGGGCTGAAATAGCCCGTAAACATTGTTTATGTATAATAAAGAAGTTGTTATCCATGATATTCCTCGTCATAATTATATCTAATTAAGAAATAGAGTTTGCTCTACCCCCATGTGTAGTGTAATAAAGTGTAGCTTAGCCCTCAGGTGTTGTAGTTAAAGCACGAGGACGCTTGCTTGATGGTAATGAAAGAACGATGTTGCCAAGGATACGTTAGATGACGGGGGAGGTAATTTAAACAGCGCCATGAAGTAACTCAAATGACTGAGTGAGTGAGTTTGGTTTAACGCCGCTTTTAACAGTATTCCAGTTATATCGCGGCGTGTCAGCTTAATGTGGGAGGAAAGCCCGAAGTGATGCAGGTCTCAGACGTTTACCACTTCGGTGAAACCCACGAGCACGGGTATGGTGCTGACAAACCTAGAAACATAATCGGGGCGAACCGGGATTCGAACAGACAATCATAGGTTTCTGGCGTGCCCAAGGGACACAACTCTGCACAGCGAATCGCGGCGCCTTAGACGACTGGGCCACCTGTGCCCCTGAAGTAACTCAAAAAGTGTACTTTAACTCAATATCTATTGGGTTGGCGGAAATAAGAACAACAGAATGTTTTGTTCATTGTGCATACTCCCTGTGTTCGTTATTTGATTTGTCAGGGAAATACTAAATGGTAATTCTGTGTAAAAGAAGAAGGTTTTCAGTTGCCCGGATCTTTAATATGCTTCTGATTACCCGTAGTCATTACGTTCAAAGATTAACAATGGTTGCTTGTTTTCTAATTACAAGAAAACAATTGAGCAGACTGGCATATACAAATAAATTAGGATTATCCCTTTAATCGTGTTTTTTAAAGTACCTTCTTAAGAAGATGTAATAATGTTTTAATCAGTTTATGTACAGGATATATGACTGTACTGTATCTAATGCAGGTAACTGATTCACCTAGGGAAGCCTGGAAGGGACTTTGTCATTTTATTGTTCTTACAAAACCAAGGGGCAAGTGTTAATATTAGCCAAAGCCAGACATTGCAACAATGCAACATATTGCCATGTTGTCTCATTGTCACCTTTAGTTTGTTTGTTGTTTAACGCCGCACTCAGACATATTCCTACTATATGACGGTGGCCTGTAAGTAATCAAATCTGGACCAGACAATCTAGTGATTGACATCATGAGCACCAACTACGCAATTGGGATACGATGACATGCATCAATCAAGTCAGCGAGCCTGACCACCCAATCCCGTTAGGCGCTTCTTACGACAAGCATAATTGCTGAAGACATATTCTACCCCAGATCTTCACGGGCCTCACCCTTTAGTAATAAACAAACCTTTTATTCAAAGGGTAACTAAATGTCGCACTTTGGTTTATTATCTCACATTTTCTTGGTCTTGACAACATGACAATGTCCTTTCCATGTTTCCATAATCATGTATTACAGTGGGCATAACACTCAGATATGGTTATCAATCTGTCTATCCATCAGTAATCATTATTATATCACAGAACTGTTCCATCATTTGTCACAAACGCATGCAGATGACTCATGTTCAAAAATAAATGCATGTCCCACAAGAGAGCCTGACATTTCTATCAAACCTGTAATTAGTTGTAAAGAAACGTCATCTAGTTAATAAACCCATCAGGTTTGCGCCAAATCAAAGAATTCCAAATGAAATGCCTGCAACATTCATTTTCCCTATATACTTTCCATAATCTAAACATAAATCTCAAAATCATTACATGATTGATTTCATATTATCGAGATCGCATATGGACAAATTAACGGGTAGTGGGATTGCTGCCCCATCACACACTGTTAACGACTACATAAATAATGGAGGGTGTTCCCACCTACATGGAAACGCAGTGTTGTCTCCAAGGATGTGGTATTGATGTTAGCTGTACGCATCACTGAGGCGCTATTGTCAGGAAGTGGCTATTGTCCACCGAATTCATGACATGCTGGGGCGCTGGGAGTGGTCACCTGGTGTACTGCGGTTGGACTCTTGCTAGACTGTCTCACAGGCCCTAAACAATAAATTGATAATGAATCAATCTCATTAAAATCTGATCTTAGTTCTCGCTATCGCTGAACAAAGATCTGAGGACATAAGCGTCGCTTACAAGATCATGAAAGTGACAGTCGGAATGTGTTTTCTAATCATGCAACCACGAAATATTTAACATGGGGTATTCCGAACAGTTACGGGTTTTATGATTATATCCATACAATCTAGGCCATCTATAAGCCATTCCAGAATGTTCTTCTTATCAGTTTTAATCTTTTTAATCGAGAATACATCAAAATATGTTTCGAAGCGTAGTCGCCAGTTTGAAACTTGTTTCGTGAAGCTCGAGAAAGCTGCCTTCTGATTGGCTAATGTCGATTTCTTGTCAGTCATTTCATTGGTTGGTCAAAATTCACGAAAGGTCGTTCTGACGTGACCCGTAATGGGATGTCCTCCGATTTTTGTTTAGCGGTAGTGAAAACTAAGATCTGATTTTAATGAGATTGATAATGAATCCAACTCTAATCTAGAATGATTTGGCAAGTCTAGATTGTCCCAGCTCTGAAATTATTCCTGCTCTGGGTTCCATTTGGATTTTATGTTTTTTGTTGTAGAATATATTTTTAAATAAGATAACTTTTGTGGGACTAAATGTATGTCTAGTCTCTAGCTTGAATGTATATTTAGTGTATCTGATTGAGTCTGCCAATCAAGTTTGTGAGACCTTTGATCCACTGTTTCTTTAGGGTGGCAGATTTTCCATGCTTAATATGTTTGTGATTGTTATGGTGATGAGGCAAGGATTTATGTAGAACTCCAAAGTTGGTGCCCTTGACAGGCAACTTGGGCAAAAAATGTTAGCTTGTTTAAAATTGGATTTTATTTCCTTATATTCAGAGGAATGTTAATGAAAAAATGTAAAACTAAGTATGAGAGCCTCTTCCTCTCTATTGGTCCCATATTACAAAGGCCAACATAAGTACCTGAGGAATTGGATATTTTAACAAAGAAATGAAGGATTCTTTTGAAGGGTTTTGTGAGTGGTTTTACACCACTACTGACAAGCATTTCACCGCTCAAAACACACTTTATACAGATGTTGAAATTGAGCTTGGGTCTTTGTGTGATCTTTGAACCACGAAATACTATAAACATGACAAAATCTGACTTAGTCAGTTCCCAACTGGGTAATGTCATGTGATGCAAAGACGTAGAAGAAGCTATTGAAAATATATGACATAATCAATTTTGTTTCTGTGTTTCAATAATTGCATGTCACTTTGTAAACAAAAACAAATGTGTTTGATCAGAAAATAAATACAGAATACAATTTTAAAATTGCTATTTTATGTGGAATATATAGTAAGAGATGCTTAATTGTTTGCCAGGTGTAAGTTTGTAAAAGAATTCCACTTGAACCCCACCTTTATGGTGAGTGCAGAATATTAAAAAAATACAAGTCTGTGTAAATTTGTTTCATAAATATATCTACTGATATTAATTCAAAATATTTGACCCGTGAAGATATTGGGTAGAATAGGTCTTCAGCCAACCCTGCTTGCCGTAAGAGGCGACTATGCTTGTCATAAGAGGTGACTATACTTGTCGTAAGAGGCGACTAAAGGGATCGGGTGGTCAGGCTCACTGACTTGGTTGATGCATGTCATCGTATCCCAATTGCGCGGATCAATGCTCATGATGTCAATCGCTGGATTGTCTGGTCCAGACTCGATTATTTACAGACCACCCTCATATAGCTGTAATATTGTGGAGTTAAACAACAAACAAACAAAATATTTGTTTTTGAAAGTTCAATTTGGTTCTTGTCTTTGATAAATCTCAGTAATGATTATCATATCACAGAACTGTTCAAAAATTTGTCACAAACTCATGCAGATGACTCATGTTCAAAAATAAATGCTGTGTCCCACAAGAGAGCCTGACATTTCTATCAAACCTGTAATTAGTTGTAAAGAAAATTGCTGTCTCTATGTTTCAGTGCCAAAGAGTGTTGCCTTTGAGGTGGCATTTGATGACAAGAATCTCCTACTGAAAAACCCTCCACGGAGATTACAGGTAGTTTATTATGTTATGCCATTATTCTCCAGTGATCAACTGACTCCTGTTGTTAACATGGTAAAAAGGTTCAGTAAGCGCAGCAGTATGTTCAGTGAGACAGTAGTTTACCGATTCTAACCGATTTTTGTATTTGGGCAACCATGTTTGTGAAGAAAAAGTGAGGTAAACTATTCTTTTATTTTATGTTATGAGTTAATGAAGTTTTTTCTTCATAGTGGACTGTCCATGAAATAAGATAATTGTGATTGCTAAGAAATGAAGAGTCTATTCGGTTATTTCTGTGTCTGTCTATGTGTCTGTCTGTGTTGCTGTGTCACCGCCTCCGTGGTCTAGTGGTAGAGTGTCCGCACGGAGAGTGGAAGGTCTGGGGTTCGATACCAAAAGACGCGTCATACCAAAAGAAGTTAAAAGATGGATCTTGTTGTTACCCTGTCTGGCGCTCGGCATAAAGGGGCTAAAACAAGGACTGGTCGGCTCGGAGTCAGTATACTGTGTCTGAGTGGGGTATTCATGTTAAACTGCGGCATGGTATCTCAGTGAGCTAGCACTATAAATCGGCATTAATCCGGACTAGTACAAGCAGCCACAGACACACACACGTGTATGCACGTCGCTATATAAGTGCAATAATCTTGGAAGCGACGTTAAACCCCATTTCACCTCACCTCACCTCACCTCACCGCACCTCACCTCACCTCACCTCACCTCACCTGTGTTGCTCTGTCTGTTTCTGTTAGTCTGTGTCTCTTTGTCAGTGTTTACATATATGTTCTGAGTTTCTGTGCTAGTTGTCAGTGAATGGATTCTGTGTTTGTCAGAATTTATTGTCCAAAGGAAATACACTTGGTACAACTCACAAGAACAGGTGTCGTTCTGATGGGCCAAGAAATCAAAAGATTTAAATCAAGGATGAAACAATGAACAGAATATTTGGTATCACTATACTCTGTGCCACGATACAAATATCATAATGGCATGTAACTCGGGTACCCAGGTCGGGTGGGTACTGAGTAGGACCTGGGTACCCACAGGACTACCCGGACCTGTGGTAAGTCATGTGATATATAGTTAATGACAAAAATTATCTAGAACTCTATGGTTACACTGCAAGTCACTCTTGTTCGCATTTCTTTTATGACAATGCACCCATTCCTTCTGACTTTTCATACGGTTGAATAAAGATAAAACTTAAGTCAACTTCAGTGTATGCATGACCAGATCGTTTAATACATCTAAATATGTTTTGCAAGTGCTGTGGTAAAACAAAATTCCCAATCGGACATTTTGTATCTCTTGAGACCTAAAGCGGGTACCCGGGTAGGGTCGGGTGAAAGAGGCCCTGCATGAGATGTATTGACACAACATGATATGCTTGACACTGGGTATGAGAAGGAAACACTATCATCATCAAAGTAAGGGAATAGCAGGCCAATTAAAACATGCCTCGCACATCGGAGTTAACTACCAGACCAGCAACTCGAGACACCCTGTACTTACAAGAATACAGTATTCTACAATTTGTTAGCATCATTTACCATGTCACCCTTATACATAGGTAATACATGTGTATTATAAGTTTGGCTTCGTGCTGATTGGCTAGTTCATTGCAGTTGTTCCACTCTTTTCCTTGTATGCGAAAAGAGGCACTACAAGAGAACATCAAATGTATGCATTGTCGTGACAATTATTTTTAATTTTCCCAAAATAGAGTAACTGAGATAGTCTCGGATATTGGAACTTGCAACATTTTTTCACTCAAGACAGATAATCTGTAATTTCTGGTAGCTCGTAGATTTTTCTCTGAGTGTATCACTACAGCCCTAAATCCATGTCATTGGATGCTGGCAGTCACATGACTATTATATCGGACGCAACAAACTCTGCACAGAGTCCACCTGATGTCCACTGAATGTCCACTGAATGTCCACCTCTGTCATATTTCTGCACCATTTAGAAGTTGAATATATTTTTACATTTTTTTACCACCTAGATTAAATTTTAGGCCAGTTCTGTTGTAAATTAACCAATAAAGTAAAAGGCCTAAAAGAAAAGTTACAAATTGGAAAACTAGGATTGTTGTAGAGACATGGTCTCAGTAGTTCCATGTATTGTATGTTTACAGAAATTAGCCCCTCTGAATGTTCCCAAAATGACTCCTGAGTTGTTGGCCGAGAGGCAGAAGTTGGCGGAGGATAAAAGGGAGAAGGTAAGTCTGTCTCAATCTTTCCATCGTATTGTCACTAGTTTGTTTGTTTGGTGTTTAATGCCGCACTCAGCAATATTCCAGCTATATAACTGCAACATTATTGAGTCTGGGCCAGACAATCAAGTGATTGTTATTATCAGTAACATCCTGTGCCATGAGTGTACGATGACACGCAATCAGGCAAGTCACTGAGGATGCTGGGGACCTATTCTAACCTCAGATCCCCGGGAGTACTGCCGCTTGTAGCTCAGGATCAACTGCTTTGGGTACAAGATTTGTTGTGCATGGAGGGGAGGGGTGTAGCCTAGTAATTAAATCATTCGCTTGTCACACTGTGCTGCCGATGTTGCAGGAGTTGCAGAGGAGGGTCAGCGCGTCACGGAAGTCCTCAAAGCGACGGAGGGAGTTGATGAAGGCCAAAGAGTTCGAACAACAACAGCAGCTACAGCAGGGAAATCAGGTGTGTTATATTTCTCATTGGTTTGGGAAGATGAATTTAACAGATATTTGTCACTTCATTATATTCGCCATGTTACGACTGAACTCATTCCCTGACCTCCGTGATCACTTGTCCTGTGTTTTTTGTTTAAAAGATGTCTTTTGTGCAAGTTATATCCATCAGACAGCGTTCGTTGCGTAACAAAAATGGCGGATGAATAAAATTGTTAGATATGAAAAGTTGCCATGACAACAACATGATCAGAAACAGGACCTCTTCCTTAACGCTACCTATAACCATGTTGATTGTGTCTATCAGATCGAGGAGCAGTTAAAGATGGCTGAGTTGAAGAGACTGGCCAAGTTGGAGGAGGTCCGTACTCGGCAGAGATTAAAAGAAGAAAGAGCAAAGCGAGCGAGAGAAAAGGTGAGAATATTTCTGAAAGTTCCTTGATCCCCCTTAAATTAGTTTCATACTCAAACTTAATACCCAGTTTAAGGATTTGATGAAAACAATACATGTTTTCATTAACTTCTCATCTAATAAAGTACCAATTTGTTTTATTATTTTAGGCAAAGAAATTGAATCAAGATAATCCTGATGTTGATCTGGACGTGGAGAAAGACGATCACTACAATGCAAGTGATGGTAGGTGCACAATCTCTGCAGAGGAGTCTTCCTTGCAAAATATATCCTACAGAGTTGTCTCCCTTGCAGTATGAGAGTCTCTTTGGTGTTGTTCTGTGTGTATTTACCTGAACAATATCTTAATCTTAGTTTACAATTTTATTATCCTCGGTTTAAGGATTAGATAAACCGGGGCTGGAAGCTACAATTATTATTAAAATCAATAATAATACATGTTGGTAGAATATATTTTTATTTGAATTTGAAATGTTTTGAAAATTATGCCTCTGGCCAGTGCAAACTCCTTTTTAAGATAACAAAGCCTTCCATGACAGAAGTAACATATGCATGTTGCTGTAACATATGCATGTTGCTGTAGAGAAAGTGAGCATCCTGCTCATCCCCATCCCTGCCTATGCAGTCAGTCCACCAACTGCAATCTCATTAAAATCTGACCTCACTTCTCGCTACCGCTAAACAAAGATCTGAGGACATCCCATTAGGGGTCACGTCAGAACGACCTTTCATCCGACCAATCAGAGCATTGCTTACCAGATTGTGAAAGTGACAGTCGGAATGTGATGTCTAATCATGCAACCTCGAAAACTTAAACTCCGAAACGATAGTTACGGGTTTAATGACTGAATCCATACAATCTAGACCATCTATTAGCCATCCCAGAATGTTCTTTTGTTCAGGTTTCAAATTTGTAATCAAGAATTTGTCAAAATATGTTTCGAAGCGTAGTCGCCAATTTGAAATTAGTGCCGTAAAACACGAGAAAGCTGCCTTCTGATTGGTCATTCCATTGGTCGGTCAAAGTTCGCGCAAGGTCGGTCTGACGTGACCCGTAATGGGATGCCCTCAGATCTTTGTTTAGCGGTATCTTTGAAAAGATCTGATTTTAATCACAAGATATAAATTATTCAAATTGTGAAACATGTCTTGGCTTCATCTTCTCCGAAAGTTCAAATGTCTTACAATTTTGAAGCCCATTCTTACTGTCTCCTCCATGACATGGCTGAATTCCTGCCTTGATGAAACATTAAACAATCTTCACTCAGTTTCTTGCCTTTCCACCTGTTAACAGACTCCTGGGGAGGTGACGGTGAAGAAAATCACAATTATTTTGGAAGTCCCAAGAAGAAATCGCAAAGGGACCTCCATCCAACAGCCAGTGCTAGCACCGTCGACAGCTTTGACAACGCATTCATGAGAAGACCCAACGAGGAGAAGCCTTTGGCGACGAAAGATGACTTCTTTGACTCATGATACTTAAACACTTTGATATACACATTTGTATGATATCCTGAAGATTGATATCCTATACTGCATGTTATCTTTTCTGTTTCATATCCTGTTATCTTCATCCTGTATGATGTCATACCTGTTTTATATCCTGATCTGTATGATGTCATACCTGGGTGATATCCTGATCTGTATGATGTCATACCTGGGTGATATCCTGATCTGTATGATGTCATACCTGTATTATATCCTGATCTGTATGATGTCATACCTGGGTGATATCCTGATCTGTATGATGTCATACCTGGGTGATATCCTGATCTGTATGATGTCATACCTGTATTATATCCTGATCTGTATGATGTCATATCTGTGTGATATCCTATCCGTCTCTATGATGTCATACCTGATATCCTGTTCTGTGTATATCCAGGGCTGTTCTGTATGATATCTTGATCTGTAGGATAGCATGTATGTATGAAATCCTTTTTCTGTAGGATATCTGTGCTGTGTTTCAAGGGTAGCAGAATAGCGATGGCCAGTTCCTTTTCATAGTCTATCACCTTGGTCTGTGAATATGTGTGTGTGTGTGTGTACATATATATGTATATAATCTTAACACTTAATAACTATACCAACCAATCAAAACTAAAAGCTAGTAAGTGCATGCTCAGATTACACTGAATGACTGTGTAGAATGACTTATCAGAGTATTTTTAATTGTTTGCTAAAAACATATGCAAACAAAAAGGTATTTATTTACGTTATATTCTCAGCTGATATGTCTTAATTTTTTATATTACTAAGTTAGTCGTATAGTACAACGATGTATTATAAGGAAGTCATAGTGATAGACTATTGTGTTAAATTGATTGATGTCAGTTGAAATAATATTTTTGGGTAAATAATTATATCCCTGATAGTGAGCGTGATTTCTGGTGATTTGTTTCTTGGATTATTATCATGATGAATATGTGAGAATCAAAAATTCACTGATATGGCTTCCTGTTATAATTATGATATTCATTTATGTTATATCATAACTATTCTTTTTTCAAAAGTTGATATTAACATTAATAATTAGGAATTCTTTTTAGCCTTCAATAAAAGATGTCATGCACATGAACTCAGTGAGAAGATTATATATTTTATTATTTTAAAACTTTATTATTTTATCAGTGTTATCTTGTTGCAAGTATATTAATGTTCCAAATTCAATACCATTTTGAAGATGAATATACAGAATGAATGAATGCTTATTCTATTTGTGTATTATCACTTTATTCATATGATTTATGATAAATGTAAATATTATTCATATACACATTCTGCTGATGTGTATCGGTTGTATTTTGTGTATGATGTGTTAATAAGATCATGCTCAAATTGTTTATTTTTACACATTTCTATCATGTAGAAAGACTTATATTTTACAAATTTCTACGACATAAATCATGGATAATTTATTTAAAGCATATGCTCGTTGAGATACTGTTTTCCTAAAGGTGAATTTACAGTACAATAAAATGTACAATGCAAACTCAAAGTGCTTTTAAAATAGGTCACAATATCTAACATGAAATTTATATGTTTCAAATATAAAAAAAACCATGTAATGTCTTAATCAAAAATGTTTAATTCATTGCTTTATTTTAGTGACCTTTGTTACCAATACTTATGTATGTTGTATAGTATTTGAATTCAGTTGGAGTCACCATCTTGGCTACACATGATAACTGGATCCATGGTTGATGTTTTAGAACTGTATAATATGTAATAGACATTTAACATTAAAATTGACTTTTGACATTAATTGACATTAAAAGTTTGATATTTTGGTCCCCTCCCTTTTAAAAATGCTGGATCCGCCCTTTATGGTGGCTGGCAAATATGCTGCTTTTGTCGTCAAATGACAAGTTTAGAATTGATATTTTTATGAGTGGTGTAGCAACATGCATAAGTCATGTGATGCACCAACTAAGGCATAAACAAATCTGACAAATTATTATGTAAGTCAGTTGTTAGAGCTAGATCCCATATACCGGTATATGGCCTCTGCATAGGAATACTTGTCCCAAAATGCGGCCATTTCGAACCAGCTGATTATGAGCTTATAAGCATGTGTGTCATCAACAGACCATGCGCTAAACAGATTGTAAAGTTTGCAAAAAATATCTTACAACCAAAACAAGCAGGTCAGGTAATCGTCGGTTTTCTATATTCATGTTTTATACTATGATGTCAGTTTTTCACAAATATTTGTTTGCTGTTACCATGGTTTCTAGTAATGTTGTTATTGTTAATATGGAATTATTGTGTTAATAGCAACACACACTCAAGAGAGACTATCCTTGTAAACTATATATTACATCTATGATATTTCTTGCAGTATAAGTGTCACACAAAACAAGGCAAATGTGTCTTCATAATACTTTAACACTGACTTATGACAGTCATAGCGCTAAGATCGCTTTGTGGAACTGGTCCTGAATACTATAGGGTGGCAACAACTTGTCTGTGGATTTTTTACTATTTTGATATCAGATATGTACATATCTATCTTAGGATGCAACTTTACAGCTGTTTACTACAAGACCAGTGTGTATTGTAGTGTGTTTAATGAATGATGAACTATTTACCTTTCCTGACTGCAGAACCGATGTCTGTGTCTATATGTTCACCAAATAAGGCCATTATGAATTATTTAATTATCATCCATTTTGCCTGTAAAGTGAGATTGGAGGGGGGGATGTCTTTAAAGATAAATGAAAAAAGTTATTTCCTCAAATGGGAGTCTGATGGGAACAAATCACACATAATATGAAGTGAGCCATGTTTTTTTAAAGATCAGCTTTGTAGCTATTAAAACGTGTTCTCATCGCGATATGGCTAAAATAATGCTGATGCGCTGTAAAATGTTAACTCACTCACTCTAAAGACAGGCAGGCAGGATGATGATCATATGGTGGTTAATTTATTCTGGCCTAACACTAGTGTGTCAAAACTGTTTACATGTACATCTAATGCCCGAATCTACATATAAACATTTTACTAAACTGTGGTAACAGGGTACGCCATTCTCAGGCACATACCTCCATCCTCAATGATCCAGGGTAGCACATCTCCAATCTATTAGGATTTTTAATATTTTTAAATATGTTGAGGACTCATTCTGCTGATCCCATGATTTTAATTGACATTTGCATTATGAGAAAATCTGTGGTAAGTTAGTGACAGGAGAGATGTAGCAGGTTGGTCACTTCCAAACGAAGCTTTTCTGGCGAATAGGTCCACAGTATACATGTACATAATAATACAATGGAGATCTGATACACCGGATAATCGAGCATACCTGCATACTTTGTTCAGTATGTAACACCATAACAGCCATAAATACAAATTGTCCATGTAAAATAAATTAGAATCAGCCAAAAAGAGCAAATGTGTGATAAATGGTGAATATGATTATTTATTGAATGTACACCCTATGCCAAAATCTTTATGGTGACTTGTAATCTGTGACATGTAATTAATGAAGTTGATTCGTTAAATGTGTACACTTATTGTATACTACTGGAAAAAAGTTAAGGACTACCCGATTCTATCATGTTGCTATAGTTAATCTGTCATCAAGCTGACATGACGTGCCAGATTTACAATAGTAATATGAAAGAATCAAGTGGTCCTGAACCCTTTTTTTCAGTAGTATATGTTTATTTGGTAAACCAGACAAATTTTGTGGGTTTTTTATCAGTCGCTAAGAAGCAGAAAGTTAACAATAAACCTATTTTGATTTGAGTTGAAGTTCTTGAAAACTACTATTGAAATGATGGTTTGAATGTGAGACTCATCTTGACTCAAAAGTTCTAATTCCTGTATGAGGGTAACTCTGTTTTTCAAGGCATTTTGATTTGCAGATGCACAGGGTACGCCATTATCTGGCTGACAGGAGGGCAGTTGAACAGAAGGATGGCTTCTTCAGCTTTGACGTCTGAGCACATGCCCAGTGCTCTGTGCTTGAGTTCGAGTTCAAAATCCCTGGCAGACCCAGGTGAACCCCATTTTAACCCTAGTTAACCTTGGTTGACCAGTGTTAACCCATGTTAACTGACAGAATGCACCTTGTGATATTGTTGATCCCCTACCTCAGAGTATTTTCTGTACTTTTCAAATGTTCAATGACATATGTTATGAGAGACTGGCTGCAGTCTGTCTCCAATATAAACATAAAACATAATACATAAATCTGAGGTATATTTTCCCTGGCATATTCCAAATGCATAGGAAGCTCTAGAAACCTTTGAATATGTTTTCAAATTTTGGGGTTGCATTTCGTTTGTTTGCTTGTTGAGTATTTTGAGACATTTAAACGTGGTAATATGATGGAGTATGTTCTCGTCTAGTGATATGATTAAATTGATATGAAGTAAATTATGAAGTTAAAGTATGAACCTAAATTATTCAATCAAAACTTCAGTTTCAATATAAGATTGAAAACCTGGAACATATTTCAGCAGGCATGTTCTCTGTTATCTGTGGTCTTTAAATTCTCTCGTCAAATGGAAAGGAGTGTGTGTTGAATCTCATTGGTTAAGGATGTATTTAAGAGTGTTTCACTTTTTCTAAGATAGGTATTTCTAAAATGTAGATGATTGAATAGAACCTTGACTGGAAAAATGAATGAATCAGCACACTTATTACCGACTAGCGGTACGCCACATCCACACTTTACTAGAGGCATGCTGGGAAATCTCTCACCGTGTTAACAGTTTTGCATGAATACTAGTATTCAACTTTTTGAGATATTTTAATCACATTTGGATTAATCTTTCATCTATTAGAAAATATCATTATTTCCAATTGTTATCAATAAGGTATATTATCCGTAATTTTATCAAAAATTCTATTATTTGATTGCCACTGTTTGTTATAGATATGTAATGAGGGTTACTGAGATCCGAAGTCATGTCTGCCTGGTTTATATGAAATGTTGATTTGTTTTATTGAAGTATTTGAGTAGATTGTTGTATTGACCTGGTATTTAATTCTGTGATATCATTTCATTTACCATTAAAATGTGTTCTAAGGCAACTCTAGCTTTAAATGTCTGTTAGATGATTTGTAGTGAAATTAGAATTGAAGTCAAAGCTATAGGAATTAATAATTTATGCCCAAATTGTGTGAATTTGTTAAACAAAATTACAATTAACAATTTAGATGTTGCTTCTGTACACAGACTTTATACAGAATAGTTGGTTATTTGTAATTATATTTTAATTGTAAACAGGAAATATTCCAGTGCTTTTCATTATTTAGAACATGTGTACCCTAGGAATACAGCCCATTATTAGAATCAGCAAAGTCCATGAAGGTAGATGTGTAGAATCACAACAAAACTAGAATGCAAAGAACACTGTATAATCTGTCATCTGGTGTTTGGTTTTCACACAAGTTTAAAGTACCAAACTGTTCCAGGATTTTATACTTCAGCCAGGTTTAAAGTCTCAACCTCATTCACAATGTTCCCTGTTCCCTATGTCACTTTTCACTATGATTTGCAACCACTTGCGTCTCCTCATTGTATCCCCAGTTTCAGTGCACAAGGGTGGGTAACTCTGACTGCACTTATCTGGAATGGGGACAGTTTCAGGAAAAGTAAGTTGTAAGTTGTATTCTGCATACAAAATCAGCTTGTATTATTGTGCCAATTTGATCAACGTAAAACTATATAAAAAACACACACAAAATATGTACTTTTTTTCTAATCATGCAGACTTTGAATTATGAAATGATCTCTATTAAATATATATGTTACATCATGGACCCTAAATATATTATGTATCATATTAAGTGGCCATGGCTACATCTTCATGGATTTGTTCTTCACAAGGTTTCACTGGATTTTGTTTCACAGAAGCTGAAATTGTATCATATCTTCTGTAACTGTGTCAAGTTTATTCTGAAGTTGTCTCAGATGCTCAATTTGTGTCATGTTTCTGTTGAATTTGTTAATACTTCTCGATTTTTGTGTCCAATGCTGAAATTGTGTTATGTTTCTGCTGAAATCATGGTTAAATTGAAGAAGTACCGATGATGCCCTGGAGGTGTATCTGAAACTAGCAGTATTATGTATTGTTATATCCCGGGGCTGGTATTGTGAGGACCTCTCACCTGTGATAGTCATTCCTGGAGAAGGGACACTGCTTGAGCCACCCCACACACCTGGTGCTGGCAGACGTACTGTGTTCTCAATAAATGAGTGAATTTGACAAATTGTGGTTATTGTTATTTTTTTAAGATTATCAGCATGTCAATCGCCTGAAATCATATCTTTCACTCCAGTTTGGTACCTCCCTCCTTCAAGATCTCACAATCTGTCGAGGTGAATTTTGACGCCATAATCAAAATGAAGCATGTGATTTTCGAGTCAATCAAACATGATGCTTCAAAACTTTACCACCTTAATTCGGAACATTCAATCTTAACCAATGAAAACCTACACAGAATAGACAGCATTTGTGGTTTAATGGACGGTGTTAAAAGATGGTACTTGTATCCTGCCTCATGCTCAGCTTTACAAGGACTGGTTGGCTCAGGGAGTCAGTATACTGTTTGAGTGGGGTCTCTATGTTAAACTGTGGCATGGTATCTTAGTGCTAATAGCACTACAAAACCAGACTAGAACAAGCAGAAACACACATGCACAGAAACACACAGATGTACATCGCTCAATAACTGCAATACTCTTGAATGCACCGTTAAACCCAATTTCACTTCACCACACAGAAAACAAATATTCCCTTGATAGTAAACATACCAGGATGCTCAGTAATGTTGTGTGTATAAAATATTTACATTAATTTTCCATTTGGAACTGCCTGTTTACATTCATTTTAGAAATACATACTTCAAATATGCTGATCTGGATGCCAAGAATTTAGAAGCCTATATTCTGTTGGCTGGTTATAAGGTTCACTGTACATGACCTCCTATAATGTGTGTGTCAGATATGTAACTAGCTAAACAAACTAGTGGCTCGTCAATGGTTTTAGTTTAGATCACTAGCCAACAGAGGAAGGAGATTTCAATGTGTCCCCAAGATGATTGTGTGAATACAAGGCAGGCATGATCAGGTGTGTTTTATTCACATTAAAATTGCATAAGATTAACTCTTAACTTGGGGCAGTCACCCTGTTGTCTCAGGACCACAATTTGCCATGCAGAGTTGCTTCCCCTAGTTATGCAAGGATCTGCTGATTTTGATTCTTTACCTGTGACCCAGACTAACATCTAGTCTGAGAAATGAACATAATTTACAAGAACAAAAAGTTAAACTATAGTTATAAAATATATAAAAAGGAAACCAAGATATTTTCTTCATTTTCTGACACTGCAGTAATCTAGACTTGCATGAACTGTGTTGGATATAATTGTTTCAGAGTCTGTATGACCAACTAACCATACCTGTGGCAAATTCATTGAATATTGTGGCAAATATCCAAGACCTGAGTAACCTTTTCTCCCACAATGAGTTAACACACTCTCATGTAACTGAAGTACTGCTCAAAGCCGCATTAAACCCAAATCACTCACTCATAGTTTGTTGAAAGACATGTATTTACTTGCCATTACACTTCTCACCTTTCACAATCATGACAAATCTCCAAATGTTATGTCATAGCTTTTATTTTGTCATGTTCTTTTACATTTTTCAACATGCTTCAGGTAAGCACAAGCTGAGACATATATGATCAAAACATTAAATATTGAAATGAAATTGGCAACAGACATATGAAAAAGTAGAATACATGAAGATTTTATGGGAATGGAAAGTAAAGCACTAAGCTACCTGATCATTTACATAACACAGCAGTATGGTGATACAACTAGGCCTACCGGTATGTGAAATTGAAGTGAAGCTTGTGTCATATCCTATAAAGACATACTCCTCTATATACTGAAGAGGAAAAACATGGAATGTATGCCTCATATCATCTTCCCAAGGCAAGAGAGTTAACTGACTTCAAAAGTCCAGTTTCCACCCTTGCCGAACTTGGCTGGAATTCCTGGGCTCGATCGTAGCGCCACCAGTGGTTATTACGAGTTACGTCCCTTCTAAACCTCTCCTATGGACCAATCAGATTCCACTTTTCTTATCACTTGCATTTGATTCAAACAAAATGGCAGCGCCAAGTCAAGGCGATCTTATAGATATTCAAGATCTATTTTGTGATAAAACGGGTCTTACATCGCGAACTCCATAATACCAGCCAGGGGTGGAAACTGGACTTTTAAAGTCGTTTAACTCTCTTGCCTCGGGAAGATGGCCTCATATAGAGAAGACTGCTCGGCCACAACCCTGGACACAAGCATTAGTGATAGTGGGATGTTGTGGTGTAGTTTTGGGGGGCAGTGGGTACCAATAGTTGTTTGTTTTTCTCTGGGAAGGTAGGTAGTGGTGTTGTAGTCCTGGGGCGAGCAGGTACTTGTGTTTCAGCCATACTAATAATGTGTGTACAAATATTGTGCTAGACACTACACACAAGGTGCATGCTCAAAGCACTTACATTATTACCCCCGTCAATGGATCAGTGTGCACTCGATTTTGATTCTCAGCTCCCTGGGGAGTATACAACCCATTCTGCCTTTGAGGGGCTAGTAGGTTAACAGCCACATTACCATCTCATTCTACCGGGTACCCATTCACTGCTGGGCAGAGTGGGTACTTGTACTGTATTCCTGGGGGAGTAGATGCTTTTGTTTTATTTTGTTTATTCATTTATTTCCAAGGACCGCCGTGATATTGCTGGAATATTGCTAAAAGCGGCGTAAAACCATACTCACTCACTATTTCCAAGGACTGATGTTGCAATCACTATGTAATACTGTATGAAAGAACCACATTCAAATTAATCACATTGACCTGCACAAGCATTAGTAACGAAAGCATGCAAATTGTTATGCAATATATGATATGTTCTACAATAAACAATATATCTATCAAAAAGCACAACCGTACATGACCCTCGAGAGTCACTCAGTCATGAAGGTGCAGGACTCCATTTTCTTACGTCAAAAAGTGTCATACCAAAACGTAACAAACATTAAATGCATGGAACATTTTCTGCTGGTGTAGAGCTGAGGTCCAAAGCATAAAGATACAAGACTGCATCTTTTAGCATCATGTATAAAAGATACATCTTGAAGAATAAAAACGATGGCAAACTCACTCCTACAGTTGACACATAAATATGACAACAAAGACAGCTTAGAATGCTTACATCAACATATGAAACATATTCTGATAAGAAAGATGGCGGAGCTGCTGTAACGTAGCTCAGTCAACTTCCTCCATCCTGGAGGCATCATCTTCATCACCTTCAAGTGGTGGCATCTCATCTGTGCCAGATTCAGCTGTAGGTTCGGTTGGGATATCATCTTCATCAATTCCTGGAAATACAAGAATTAAACATGTCAAAGACAAAGAATGTGATGCCAATTAAAAGACAATTACCTGCTATTCCAAATATATAATGCTATTCCATGCCAGCAACCATATTTTGAGATTGTGAACATATTTAATTTCAGATACTTCTGTGTTGGATAAGTTTGAGACATCTACAGACAGATTTTTAACCATGGGGCCGTCCGAAAATGCCATCTTCCCGAGGCAAGGGAGTTAACCGACTATAAAAGTCACGTTTCCACCTTTGCTGAACTAGGCTGCAATTATGGAGTTATATTTTGGCTGGACTAACGTCCTCGGGAAGATGGAAAATGCTTAATAGTAATAATTTGTCCGCAGGTTTGACCCCCAAAATCTGGATGTCTTTAAATGCTGACTGAAAAAAATATCCTGTCTCAAACAAAATCCCAGGACATTAAAAGGTTGGTGCATTGACCAATGTGTAACGACAGTTACAACACACCCTTAAAATACTTTGACTTCATGACAGTGAATGTTGTTTAATAGTGCAGTAAGCAATTTCACAGCAATCATGGCAATGTCATGATGGTCTTTAAATAATCACTTATAGGCAAGGCACACCAGTGGCCAACAGCACAACCAATGAAGTACACAGTCTGATTGGATTAAGGTTGAATTAAGGTAAGGATATGTATCATTCCACTGGGGAAGGGACTGCATTAATATTGAGTCACATTTTTTACCAGGGGCCAGCAGTCACATTAATTTGGAGACGCATTAATTTCAAGATTTACTATAATTTTTAAACCTTGCTGGTTGTGTCATTCTTTTTATCTGGCTGATTGTGTGTCATGGTTTAAAAATTACAGTAAATCTTGAAATTAATGCGTCTCCAAATTAATGCGACTGCTGGCCCCGGGCCAAAAATGTGACTCAATATTAATGCAGCCCCTTCCCCAGTGGAATGATACATATCCTTACCTTAATCCTACCTTAATCCAATCAAACAGAAAATAGCACCACTTATTTGCACTGAGTACAGCACTTCCCAAAAGAAAATGAACAGTGTCAACACCTGAAAGCAGGCCACAAGACAAAGGCTAAGTGTGTGGAAGCCTATCGGAGCGAGCTGGATCGTGTCAGCCTTTGCCGCAGTGATGCGTGGGTGGCATCTGTCTGGACTGCTGGAGTACTCAATGATGCCTAGTTTTGATCAGCAGTGATAACTCACCGGATGCCCTTTGTGTAACCTCTTTTCTTTGAATACCATTGTTACCTACTTATTACAACTGCTCAATAAACCATGATGCGGAATAAAAAGTTGTTTGTGCTTATATTCAAGTTCATATTTCCGCTATCCAAAGGGTGAAATGAGGCTGTCTTATTGTTGATAGTCATTTTGGAGACATAGTTTAGTAAATGCGAGCAAAAACAACTCGCTTTTATCGCATTTAATTCACACTTGCATTAATTTCAAGATTTACAGTATATACCAAGGGTGGTGATTTGTTGTTTTCCATAAACCAATGGATAAGTCACACATTGGAACAGACCTCATTAGTCGGCTCTTAAAACCAAGCATAGGATGCTGCAGACCTAATTTGCTCAAGAATTCCCACTTGGGACACCTCTATAGTGATGCTCCCTCATTATATTTAAACACACTGATATAGAGATTGAGAACTTACCAAGACCCAGCTTGATCATCCTGTGTATCCTGTTGGCATGTGATGTTGGGTCTTCCAGGAAGAAGCCGGAGGCAAGGAGAGAGGTTTCAAACAGCAGCATGCACAGATCTTTCACTGCCTTGTCGTTCTTGTCAGCATCAGCTTTCTCCTTCAGCGTCTTGACGATGGGGTGGTCAGGGTTGATCTCCATGTGTTTCTTAGCTGCCATGTAGCCCATAGTGCTGGTATCTCGCAGTGCCTGGGCCTTCATGATTCTCTCCATGTTGGCTGACCACCCATACTGACTTGTGACAATACAGCAAGGGGAGGTAACCAGACGATTGGAAACCACAACCTAAAACAGACAAATAATCATGACTATCTCATACAATACATAATCTCTGGAGTTTCAGATCATTTCATTTTTTATGATGTCTTGCAGGTTTTATTCAAATTTGGTCATAATATCATGATATGTCCAGCAAAATCATCCTCCATGTTGGCTGACCAGCTGTACTGACATGTGACAATATCGGTTTAGAAACATTTACTGCAATTAACACGAACGTCAATGACCCACTTTTACAAATATGGAAATGTCGTAGAACAAACCAGATGATGTCACTATTGAATGTGACGTCACCAATCCTATCCTATGACGTCACCTAACAACGGGCATGATAATGGCCCGTCGTCAAGCAATATGAGGGCATTAATAAGTTACAGCGGCCCTCTCATCTCTGGTAACATGCGGGCAGTTTAATGATAATTCTATCCATTTTAGCTATAATACCAGACAAAAATTGTCCAACTTCCCAATCATTTACTTATTTGCATAAACATATAGTAGTAGTTTGCTACCAAATTTGTTTCCAAGACTTCCTAGACAGAATAAAAATTGAAAGATTTCTTTGTTTCAAGGTCTTTTCTATGTGAACACGAGCAGGAACTATGCAAGTATAATCTCTCAAAATGGTCAAGAAAATCAAGAACCAACCTTTTCTACTTTCTTGTCAAGAATCTCCTTCATGACCTTGCACAGTCCTTCAAACTGAGCCTTGGATTCCTCAAGTTTCTTCTTTTCTTCCTCATCCTCTGGCAGTTCCAGGCCTTCCTTGGTGACACACACCAGGGTCTTCCCATCGTACTCTTTCAGCTGCTGGACACAGTACTCGTCAATAGGGTCAGTCATGTAGATCACCTCAAATCCCCTCTTCTTCACTCTCTCAACAAAGGCAGAGTTCTGAACAGAGTCCTTGCTTTCACCTGGAAAGAGATCAAGATGAAAGACAGGGTTTCAGACTGGCTCAAAAGACATGGAGTGTCTACATTACTTTCAAAATTGTTAACCTCACATCATTCATAAAATCACAAATATTTTTTAGAATGTTTAACATGTTAACGAGAAAAATCACTACATGTATAACTTCATTCAAACCTCACATGCCAGGACTGTATGAAACCTTAATCTCTATGGACTCAGGAATTTCTATTTCACCATACTGATAAGAATGAAATCTAGCAAAAACTAATATCATTGACTTACCAGTGATGTAGTAGATGCTCTTCTGGTTTTCCTTCATGCGCGACACATAGTCCTTCAGGGAGGTCACCTCATCCCCTGACTGGGATGTATAGTATCTGAGCAGCTCGGACAGCTTCTTTCTGTTGGTGGAGTCTTCATGGACACCAAGCTGCATCAAATGATAAACCATTTTAGCAACCACTGAATATGTACCACATCGAGATTTTGGAGCTCCTGCAAGCTTACAGTTGGAGCACTTATTTGAAAACCCAATTACACGACAATTAAATACAATGTTTTTGCCAACTGTACCTAAAATAATGCGTATATTTAAATGAATACCTTGAGGTTTTTGCTGAACTGTTCATAGAATTTCTTGAAGTTGTCCTTGTCTTCCATGATGTCATCAAACAATTCCATGCACTTCTTCACCAGATTCTTACGGATAACCTTCAAAATCTTGCTCTGTTGCAACATTTCTCTGGATATGTTGAGAGGAAGATCCTCAGAGTCTACAACACCACGCACAAAGTGCAAGTACTCTGGAATGAGATCTTCACAGTTGTCCATGATAAACACACGTCTCACATACAGCTTAATGTTATTCTTCTTCTTCTTGTTCTCGAACATGTCAAATGGAGCCCGCTTGGGCAGAAACAGCAAAGCACGGAACTCCAGCTGTCCTTCCACTGAAAAGTGCTGAAATCAGAAAGGGAACAATTAATTTCCTCTCACCACAAATTAATATGATCATTTATAATTTAACTAAAATTGTTCAACATAATGTCACTGGCAAGCCCTTTTGCGGTTATGTAAATGTTATAACTAACCATTGCCATAATTCATATCATTATTTCATATCTGCTATTTCCACTTAAACGCCCAATGGAATCTGTTCCAATGTATAATCAAGAGTGGTTGTTTTCTGGTATTGACAAATAGTTTACATCAGTTCGGTTCTCTATAACCTATGTACCTTGACAGCAAGATGGTCTTCCCAATCATTTGTCAATGACTTATAGAACTCTGCATATTCTTCCTGTGTGATATCATCTGCATTTCTGGTCCACAGTGGTTTGGTCTTGTTCAGTTCTTCATCTTCTGTGTATTTTTCCTTGATCTTCTTCTTCTTCTTTTTGTCCTTGTTTTTGTCTTCATCCTCATCTTCATCAAGATCTTCTACCTTGGGTTTCTCCTCATTCTGAAATTAAATGCAACTTTAATTACTCCAGGAATACACCTAACAGGCAATGACATCAACACAGTAGACAACAATTTAATCTGCAGCAACACCTTGAATTTAGTAAAAATTATTGCAACTACTTGAATTTGTCAAACAGTTCAGGGGACCCACCTCTTCCTCATCCTCTTTCTTCTCCTCAACCTCTTTCTTTTCTTCTTCCTCCTCCTCATCAGACACCTCCCTGTCTCTCTCCTTCTCAACCATCAGCTTGATTGGGTAACCTATGAACTGGGAGTGCTTCTTCACAACCTCCTTGACACGACGCTCCTCGAGATAGTCGGTTTGGTCTTCCTTCATGTAAAGGGTGATGCGGGTTCCCCGTTGCAGGGTGGGATCTGAACAATAACAGGGGAAAACATAAGAAATCCATTTTAACTTACAAATAAAATCACTGCCTTCTTTCTTTACTTGACTACATGCTACATGTATCCACAACTGTTGATAACAAATTATTGGATGAAAAACTAATGAATTTGCAGCTTAAAAGTTAAATTTTAGGGACATGGAAATACTTTAATGTTATTTCTTGTAACATTAACATCTAACTTTCTAGTAATCAGTTTCCAAACGCTTACCATTTGAATTTTTTATGGTGAAAGACCCTCCAGCTGACGACTCCCAGAGGTACTGTTCATCATCATTGTGTTTTGTCTGGACAACCACCCTGTCTGCAACAAGGTAGGCGGAGTAGAAACCCACACCAAACTGTCCAATCATAGAGATATCAGCACCTGCCTGCAGGGCCTCCATGAAAGCCTTTGTTCCAGACTTGGCAATGGTACCAAGATTGTTGACAAGATCAGCTTTGGTCATACCAATACCGCTGTCCTCGATTGTAATTGTTTTAAGTTCTTTGTCTGGAACAATTCTGATATGAAGGTCTTTGCAAGCATCTAGTTTAGATGGGTCTGTGAGAGATTCATAACGTATCTTGTCCAAAGCATCAGAGCAGTTGGAAATCAGTTCTCTCAAGAAAATTTCCTTGTTGGAGTAGAAAGTGTTGATGATCAAGCTCATCAGTTGGGCAATTTCTGCCTGGAAGGCAAAGGTCTCAACCTCAGCCTCTTCCATCTGGGCTTCCTGAGGTTCTCCTGGGGCTGCTTCTTGAGGTTCTGGCATCTAGAAATAGAAAACCCCAAACCTTGTACAGGATTCTCCTTACATGAAGCATTGCAACTCATTCTTCCTTCACAAATCAGATCCAGGTGATACTATTTCACAGCGAGCCAAATAAACAAAGCTGCTGAGTTGATCCAAATTCCCATACTCTAACACTGACCAACAACATCCCTAACGCTATGATTTCTCTGTAGAATGGGGCCCTTGGCCCTGTTCCAGAAAGCGGTATTAGGCCTGAGATCATCGTAACTCCCATTGTTTAACACAGGCTTACAACAGTCATAGCACTATGATTGCTTTGTGGAAAGGGGCCCAGGGACCCGTTCCACAAAGCAATCTTAGCGCTACGACAGTCGTAAGCCTATGTTAAAGTATGGGAGTTACGATCATCTTACCGCTAAGATCGCTTTGTGGAACCGGGCCCAGGAGGATATCTCAGTCACCAATATACCACTACAGCATTAAACAACACTTTGCCTGGTGATGGCTAAACACCTGGTGTTTCAGCTAGCATGACACCCAGGAAGATCTGGGTTAGAATTGATCTTCAGCAACCCATGCTTGTCGTAAGGGGCGATTTATGGGATCACTGGTCAGACTTGATGACTCGGTTGATGAATGTCATTGTATCCCAATTGCTTAGATCGATGCTCATGATGTCAATCACTGGTCCAGACTCGATTTTTTACAGGCAACCCTTGTATAGCTGGAATATTGCTGAGTGCAGCATTAAACAACAAACAAACAAATGTTGTTAGCATGACACCTTTCAATAATAGTCAGTGTAAAGGTTTAAGGGAAGTACTGTCACAAGGTCGTGCTGGAGACAATGTATGTTCCTAATAAAACACCATTTACTAAACACACATATTTCAGAATATCAGACATAAACTGGCAAAGAATTTGCATGCCTGCACAAGGAAAGATGAGTAGCTCATAGTGCTTTATTACTGATTTCATACAACTGACATCGATAGTGCACAACACATACCTACAATTTGTTTGTTTGTTTGTTGTTTAACGCCACACTCAGAAATATTCCAACTATATGACGGCGGTCTGTAAATAATCGCGTCTGGATACGATGACCCGCATCAACTAAGTCTGGCCACCCGATCCCATTAGTCACCTCTTAGGACAAGCATAGTCGACACAAGCATGGGTTGCTGAAGACCAATTCTAACCCGGATGTTCACAGGTATGTCACATAAGTAACAAGCGTGCCAAAAACATCCCCAGGGGCAATAAAGAAATATTCTTAATACCATATCAATGACATGTCTGACAAAACGCAACTGCAGGCGAAGTCCAGTCCCGTTTTCACAATCTGCTTTATCTAGCTATTGGAGAACAAATCCTTCTCATGTTTCATTATCAGTGACCTTCAAATTCAATATTAGGACCTGGCAGGCAATATGACCCTAAACTGTATGTGGCTTGTATCAAACATAAAGTTCCAATGTTAGCAGTTGAGAAATGAAGTGAGGTGAATGTATGTATTTCTCTGTGAACGCATTCACACACGATTACAGCAAATTGAGATGATTATTTGATAAAACCTGCCCCTTACTCCACAAAAATACCCGTAGCACAACACCTAGTTTCACTTTGACCGGTTCTCTCTGTACCACACCCACTGATCTTTCCAGAACAATCCAGCCACGTGCGTAGTACAGTACTTTCTGGATCAATCATACTCTTGACGAAATAAAGACTAACATTTCCCTTCGCAAAATGACATTTAAATGAAAGTATTGACATTTAACTAAAAAGCAGCTCATAGCTAAACATAACATTTAATTATTATCAGCTCATGGTGACTCGGGTATACCTGCTAATCAGAAGTATACGCATTTTGATAATCCCTTGAGTGTAACGTCATAATTAGAGTTAAACGGTAAAAGATATTTGTTATTTGTCACCAATTATCATTATGTAGGTATTTCATCGTATACTTACTTTGAATAAAGATACTTCCCTCCTTCCCCTCTATCGGTATTAGTGTGGCTTGAATGTCGGCGTGGAGTCAGGTCAGTATACGTCCCTTTCCCAGACCAGGCCTCAGAGCTACGTTTATCGAGAGGTATGCCTGTTATAATCGCGCGTGTAGTTCAACTATACTGTATTTAAGCTTCCGCACGACAAAACGAAATGCGCGGCTAATAATAGACAAATCCCAGTCAAATTATAACAATGGGCGATCTTTTTCAATTTATCTTCCCTTCACTAACCCGCTGGGAGCGCTGACCCGGACGGTCCAACCTTAAAGGGGCACTGATCTTACGGACTGGTTGTTGCCTTTGTTATTGTTTTCCCCCCGCGAGTACCCGGATGATACGCAACGCAACTGAGCGTAACCAGAGACTGGGGTACCGTCTGCAAGGACAGCTAAATAAACTTGGAGGCTGGAGGCAATATTTGTTTTACACATTTTTGAACACTGATTGGTTAACTGTGATCTATAAAGGTTTCGACAAAGGGCGCATGTTAATTCATTTCTTCAGCCTAAACAAACAGACAAAAAGAACAAGGGAGCTCATTGGATGTCGTCATTTGGAAATACCCCAGATGGTTATAGTTTAATACTAAAAACAGTATCCATGCAGTGAAAGCATTTTCGGATTTCGGCTTGCGTCGATAATACGATTACTACTCCCTTGTTGTCATCCACGTTTTCTCGTATAACCCTACACTTGTGTATTTGTCTCCATTCACTTGATGCTCAGTTAATGAATTTATTACAGGTACAATTAGTGGTAGCACCACTCAGATTACCTGACAAAGGTTCACATTTGGCATTTATTGTGTCTCGGGTAATTATTCAATCAAAATCCAGGTTTGAAGTGAGGTGAAATGTGTGTTATGTAATATGCACGAGGCAGCCCAGCAAGAGATGAATGATCAGTTGATTTACTTTTTTTTGTAAATCAACGGATCGTTCCTAGTCATCAAAGGATTAACAGAAAATACGTTGATTGATTAATCACTGTTATCTTGCACAGTGGATATGTCAAGAGTGAGTGTTTACATGTCTAGGTTTACTAAAACAAAGGGAATACACTCGTATCATGGCGTGAAGTGCCGATGTAAAAACAACATACTTTGTTCAAAGGGTTAACTGATAATACGTTGATTGATTGATCATTGTTATCTATCACTCAATGGAATTTTTAGGAACCGTGGACGCTATGAAAATAGTTGTCACGTGGGCTTTCTCAGCCGACCATTGAGACTTGACACCTACGTAAAACACCTGAAACAATCCAAGCGATCAGTTGAGAAACGAACACGGGTTATAATATCCCGAACGATATATATCTTTAAAAATATTTGATTGTTACTGAGACACGTGACATCGAATAAGTTTCTTTGTACAGCTGCAGACGAGTGGGATATTGTTCCTTTGTGTGGATATTCATGGATACATTCCTCGAACAAGGAAGCTGCCTAAAACGTATACACATAAATTTGGTAGGTTGTAATTATGATATCTGCATTTTGTTTTCCTTCATTTGAACCGATTCGTTCTTGTTTCTCTACGTCTTGGTTGGGAAATTCTTCAATGCACGATAGACGTTGTTGTCACAGGTCTTTTCCTTTGTAAGCGTGTATATATTACCGTCAATTTGTAAAATGTGATTCTCTCAGGCAATTTATAAAATGTGTAAATATTTCAGTCATTTTGACTAAAAAATCTGTCCAGATTGATCAAGACGATCAAAAGGGCCTACAAACATCACAACAGATTATTATGTAAGATTAAAAGCCAAACAACTTAGAAATGTACTTTTCAACGTTACATTTTCAGTCTCTTGGTGATGACATTAAACATCAAAATGTTTGGAATTCGTTGTCATAATAATACAGATGGAAATGTTTTCAGTCACTTTGTAAAATAACTGAATATTTAGACGTTTAATAAATTTGTTACACATTTGACAGTAAAAAAATATACACACTATAAAAAAAAGCATATGCTCAGGTGAAATATATACTTTGTGTTGCAAGTCAAAATAGTGTAAACGAAAATCGCAAAATTACCAAGCAAGTGACTTATCAAAACTTCCTTCACCATTACCGATGCTGCTCACTAAGATACCTACATTTCCTTATTATCTTGAAAACTGTATTTCATTTTGTTGATCAGAGTGACCATACGCCCTTATTACTATCCATAAAAGTGACTAATGCGCTTACAAATGGCGCAGCAGAGGTCGCGAACTAGTCTAGATTTCTGCTATACATCCGGGTATTCACTGGGAAAAAACAATAACAAAGGCAACAACCAGTCCCGGGGAATTGCGTTAGATCAGTGCCCCTTTAAACTGACGGCGCATGTGGTATGCGCGATACGAGCACTACATGTTACTATGACGCCTAATAGACATTTAACTAGTATAACCTTCACCTCTGACGGCAACGGTCACGCTTGTGTGTGGACAGCATATCTTTTCGCCTAAAGAATGATTTATCTATTGCCATGTCCGGAAAAAAATGTTCTTTGATTTAATGATACATCAGGGATGACCACGACTGATCATATTGTATAGTTATCCACTAGACAGGCTTTCGAAGCGATGCGGTGAGATCAGCTGATCTTTGTTGACGTTTTGCAATCGGTACTGAAAGTGTTGTCCTTGATGTATGAATATGAAAGTTAAGTAGATTTTGTATACGTTCCTATATCTATGTTGTAGTATCGCTGACCAGGCTACATCATATGCATGCATTTCAGTATGTACAGCCTTATAAGGCGATGCGGTACGCGAAATGTGAAGGTCTTATGCAACGTAAAGTTGCCCGTAGCCTCAATGTTGTGAATATTGACAGCAACACATGTTACATGTAAGTATTTGTCAGATATATAACAGCAGAGACCATATAATAGTATATGCTCTCTGATAACAGAGAGCAATGAGAAATGTTCTCAAGAAATTGTAAGAGTAACAGGCACTGTCATCAACTAGATATCATGATACAATGTTCAAAACAAAAGTAATGGAAATCACTGAAATCTGTTTTGATATTAAGGGTTAATTAGTGCATGTTGTATAAAAGGATTTTATGTATATGAATGGTAGCTGTTTGTTGCCAAATACTACCATGATTATATTCCAGTATGATCAATGAAAGATATATATTATTTTGGCCTTTTTTTAATTTTACAAAGTAGAAAAAAATAATTTTCAGACAGAGGAACCTATATATTAGTTAAATACATATTCAAGAGTATTTGTACCAACTACAATTTTTATAAAATAAAACATACTAATACTAACATATATTCATACTAATTGTCAATCTCTATAATGTTGATTGTATTAACACTGCAGTGTCTACATCCAGTTTGCATTGACAATAATCATATGATTGTAACACAGATAAAGCTGATTCTTAACTTCATTAGGCCTCGCTTCTTATGTTTCCTTGTTCTAAATTGATGTTTCAAATTCCAACATAAACAAATTATCAATGTTATTTTTTTTCTATTCACACCAACAGATATCTGCATTGCACAAAGACTCTTATTATTTTATTTAATATCTCGGCATACTGGTGCATGTGTACTGGTCTTTGATTACACATGCATGACTTTTCAGCAGTCATCTGTTTCTGAACTGAATATTATGCTAATAAAGATAAGTAACATAAAAAAAAGGACTTTGGTATTCTTTCATGTTTGGAGAATCATTCAATTCATTGTGAAAACATTTTTAATTTCTTGCATAAGTTACTTTGATCTTGATAGATCCGAATAGATCCAAATTAAATTGAGGAGATTAAATTATGCAGTCTAATTCATTTCAGCCAGTCTGTCAAAAATCCGGTCCTATTTTTCAGGCAATAATAAATGAATGAAAATTTAAGAAAAAATATACCTTGCCTGAGTGAATCAGTCAATATGCACATTAACTAAAATTTTCAGTCAATATACATATTGGGCCTGTTTATAGACACTGACTGTAACATATGTAAGTATAATCTGTTGTATGCAAAAACAAATAACATAAATAAATCCATTTATCTACATGGAATGATTGTGGGGTTCAATTTGCATTTATTTAACCATCAGAAGATTTGATGATAAACTTTCTAAATTCATATTTGCTATATGATAATAATATCTACAAAATATACTTTACATTACAGGTGTCTTGAAATACTGTTGAATGAAAATCAGGATACTTAGATACATCAGGATAGTGTGTTGGTATGTATGAGAAATAATTTGTCAACATTAAAATAAATATAATGTTACTAAAACAAGAAGATAAAACTATGATTTCCATCTATTTATGCATCATACACATTTTGTGGGGTAGTCAGTATGATTTGTTGTTTGTTGGGACAAATCTCTGTAATTTACTACTATTTTAAGAGCATGAGTATCAGAATTCTGTAAGAAATTATGGATCAATGAATTAACACCTGTGATTGACTCAGAGCACTTAATGGTGGGACACATGTTATAAGGGGCAGAATAATATGGGTAAATCTCTTTTTTCAAAGTATGATGACTAGTATGTATATTGCAACTGAGTAACTGAGTGCTTAATAGATGCATGGTAGATTTTCATTTGGCCTATTTCTAAAAAATAATATAAATTTAAATATTCAGATGCAACTTTTATTTTTAATATAAAAAGTAACATTTAAAATCAGTTGTTTTATTATTTTGAACGTTATTTCTTCTGAAAATATTTGTAAAGGCACGGATGTATACTTACTATATAGATCATTGGTAAACCCTGTCAAAGATGTCTGTGTGCTGCAAATGTAGTCATATCACTGATTTTATTAAATTGAAGTCCATGGTAGTATTTGTTGAGATTTGAATGCTTGAATTGTTGTGGGAAATAACACAAAGGCTGATAAATAAAATGAGTTTGCATTATTTCATCGATGCAATATGTTAGCCCAGACTGACAGAATGCCTGGCTGTTTTCTGACGTAGAAAATACCGTGGCAATATACCGTCTTTCATGACGTTTTTCCCGCTATCTTCCATAGTGACAATTCGTCTTGTAGTTGAAGACTCAACAAATGTTGATATTATAAACTAATAATCACTACAAAATATGTGCTAGTTAAAAATATTCAGTTGTAAACGACCGT